AACTGATGCCATATCCATGAGCACACAACAGATGTCCGCATCTTTTACTTTAATTCCAAATCAATTACAAACTTTTATCCAATTAGGTTAGCCCATACAAAGAAAATCATTTGATTCAATTAAGTACACAGTTTTGTCTGGTGCAAATTGAAGCATGTTTAAACTAGGTCTTTTGTTTCATTTTATATTGACTCTACTCATTATAACTGGACCTTAAGTCTTACATGGAATTGCATGTTTCTTTGTCATTACACACACAGACCCCCCCCCCCTACAGTGACTATAATGCTAATGAAATATGTATAGCTTTCTCACAATCATTAACATAGCAAAAACTATACCCCTTTAACTACAGTGTCAGAGTCTATTGTAGGTGAAACTCTCTTTTAAATAAGCAAAATCATACTTTGTTGATGGGGTACCCCCTAACCTTAAAAACCCCTGAACAGTCATTTTATGTTTTCGCAAAATAACCCAGAAATTCTGGTTTATTTTCTGTTTAATATAAAATGCTTGGGTGAATCAGTATCAAAATATCCCAAAATATCAAATACATGTCATTTTCTATCAAAGTAAATCTAGTTCTGCAAAGTTCACCTCAGGTTAGAATTCTAATTTAAAGATGGAATCTTTTAATGTACTACAGACTGTATACTCTGAGATATGTCTATCAACAGAACAAATAATGACTACAAACTTTTTTACTTCTTAAACAAATGCCTACTTTGTTTTCTAAAAAACAGTACTTAAATAGTATGTTTTCTGTCCAATACATAAAACATCAAAAGAAATTTATCTAGAAGGCCATATCAAATAAATTGTGGAATTAGCACAGGTGACGAATGGAGACATTAAATTATTCAGTATAAAGCAATTAATATCCTTTTATTTATATTAATGAGGTCAATGTGACCTTGAATGTGTATATCAATAGCAAGAATCTGAACTGAATAATGCAATAGCTTTTGTGAAACAATTGACTAACATGATTCAAATTAACGCAATTGAAAATAAGATTTGAAGTGTCTTTGTAACAGCGCTGTTGACAGAACATGATACAAAATGAAGAGATGCAATTATTTCAGATGAGAAGATGGTCTATGAAAGCTGAAACAGAATTGATTGTTTCCGTGGAGATGAAACCAATTTCCGAAAAAATCTTTCTAAAAGTATCCTATTGTGAAATATGAAATAAAAGAGTATGCTCATTATTCAGGGCGTTCAGTTTAGCTAATTTTGCTCTTAAACCTTTATATCTTGTCTTTCATCATTTAAGTAAGAAGCATCTAACTAAGATGTATCTTACAACCACGGAAAAACTGTTGAGATATATAAAATATTAGCAAAAGAGTGGTTGCCATAGAAACATGGGCTTCCTTCTGATATCATAACGTGAGGAATTTCAACATGACATTGACATAAACATGTATAAAAGCATTTAGCAAAACAAAACCATTGCACATTTTAATATCTCATGAATGTCATAAATTGAACATTTGATATTGATTAATTAGCAATATAGTACAATACCAATACTGCACGTTCATACAAGATCCCCATCAAGCAAGTGTCAAAACCATATATTGATTTTAAGACACAATAACAAAGAAACAGCGAATATGAAGCCATTCTTATTCTTAGCAATCTTTGTACTACAAATGGATTCACTTCCTAGTTCCTGACTGGCGTCATGAGTGATTGAAATCAAAAAATTTTTTAAATACAAAAAGCAGAGAATCGTTTCTGTTTTGTTTGACCTTCAAATATTTTGTTTCTTATGGCAAAATTGAAATATTCGGCAGTTATCAAGATGGACCTGTGTCCTAACTTAATTAATTTCCAGTGTGACCCTATTTCCAACTACATAAGTGATTTGGGGATATGAGATTGTGTTTTAGTAGTTAACTTATAAATAACATAAAAATCTGTTCTAAATGAGACTGAGCAATTTAATCAATCGGAAAATGTTCATCATTCAGTCAGCATCTGGAACAAATTGAAGAAAAGAATGCATGAGAAGAATTTCATTAAAAGGTGAATGATCACTCAGTCCATACCTTGGTATTAAGTGAATTGCACTGACCTCAAAGCAACCACATTTCTTTGAGAGGATTGGGAGAGGATTACAGGATATATGGGCTGTATACAAGACAAAAAAGATTGAAACAATGCAAGATTTGATAGAGAACAATGTGTTCTATGGGATCAGATGATTAGATGGGCTCCTTATGTGGGAATATGGAATGCTGGAAGGCGATTTACTCCAACTCTGTCTATTTATTGTATGAAATAAACCTATTCATTAAAAAAAAGATCGGCTCCTAACGTTCTCAAATTTTTAGTTGAGGCAAAATAAGATATGAGTAAATTACTCAGATGCGAGTAGGTAGTGACCAGTTTCGCCACCAGGTGGCTGATTCTGGGGAAATAACATGGCAGGGTATTACAAAATTCCCTTAAACCTGAATATTCATCAGTTTTAGTGGTCCACTTTTCATATCACCCTTATGTATGTGATAGTTATACAAATTAAAATATGTCCAGTAAAAGAAAATATTATCTGCCCAACACAAGAAAAGATATTTCACTTTTTGTGGTTTTACAACATGGGGCCTATGGGGAATCTCCTCGACCTAGAAGTCACATTTTCAAAGAAAATTAAATTTTCAAAGTTGATAAACTCTTTTCAAAACCACATTTCTAGATGTAATTTTACATGTAGATTCCAGATATGACATCAGTTTGACTGAATTGTGAATTTTTAATGGAGTAAATCAAGAATATTTCTACTCACATCTAGGATATTGGGGTGAGGTGCTTTGCCTCAGTCCAAAAGTCTACTGACACCCTGTAGTCAATGTATTAATAAGAGAGATACCCTGATGATCAGAGGCCAGTAAATTAGCAGATGAAGCTCCCTTTCGGAGGAGCAAAATTGAACTATTGGAAAAGGGTAGGGAGAGATGAAGAAATGTGGGAAGTATGCAACAACACAAATTCCTTTCTCAAGAACTACATAATCTACAAATAGTGATGAAGGAAGATGATATAATTCTCCTCATTAGGCTCTTTAATTAACAGATAATGATCCTAGTTAATTAGGATACTTTCTATTCATGTAATGGTATTAAGTAATAGATACCAGTACTTAGTGGGAGATATCAACTTCCAAGATAATACACAACATGCCAGAACAAACACATATGGGAACAATATCTGTGTACTGCACTACCAACATCTACATATGTCACATCTAGTCTAAAAGTGTCATATCTATTCTTAAAGATGCCACATCTATAAGTGATCAATGAAAATATATGTTGTCTTGGTTACAAACCAGCAAACTTATAAGCATTTTGTCAAGCTTCTATCTATCTTATAAGTCACATCTGAGCTCTTATTCAGGCTTATATACAGGCCTGTATCTTAAAAAGAGGGGGGAACAAGGCACAAAGGGCAGCATTACAATAGTTCCTGACTCAGGAATCTGCAGAAATTACAAGATGAAGCCATATATCCAGAGGTGTCGTATCTAGAGAGGTACCATATATCACACCATGAAACTTCTATTTATGTGTGAACCATGGTTTGGATTGTTTAAGCACATGTGTATGTTGTTAATAATTAAATCTATCTACTGTTACATAATAGTGGCACATAGCAGTCATAGCACAGTTACATATATTTACATAGATTATAGTCTGTGATTACTGACACTGGTACCTTTAAATATACTCGCATTAATCCCAACATTCCGGAGATTTCACATAATAGCCTATTGATTGGTTTTAACTATGCTACTATAGTGTGTTGGTTGATAATTATATTGCTTGGATCAATGGCTATTATATGCCTACTCGGTTTCTCTCAGAATAGTGCCATTGACAGCAGTCAGGTAGTTCTACGTGGTAAATTTAAAGCATGTTGATGTGGTTCCTTTTGTTGTGGTTGTGCATTCACCACATCAAATAAAACATACTTTGTTTTACTACTCTGTTAAGGTTTTATTGATTTTTATGTGACTGAAATATCATGTATGAATCACAATTAGACAATAACATTCTATAATTATGTACTCATAAAACCTGTAGAATAATATGTCAATGTGTAATATTCTTGACATAAATAAATAAAAAATTAAAGTACATGTATACATTTTATGATTTGCAAAGTCATACATTGCCACAGACATAATCTTTACTAAAGGTGACAGACTATGTTGTTCAATAGAAAAAAAAATATTAAAAACAGAATTCTAACTTTTTTAGTTGAAATGAAAACACATGTTTACTTGTTTGAAGAACAACAAGCCAGCAGACATTCGTTCAATTGACAAAAATAGACTATTGACTTTTTTTGCATATAAATGTCAATGTAGCCTTTTACAAGAAGCAGACATTAAAAACGAACCTGACATTGATCTAAAAAGATTCTCTAGAGTTATTACTTCTTTTCTTTAATAATGTCAAATTGACCTCAGAAGATGAGCCTAAGGGAATAGAAAAATTTTGTATTGGATATATGAAAATGCAGAAAAATCACTGATGCATCATCAGTGATGGGGATTTAAATAAATGGGAGATTAACTAATGGGAATGGATTATGAATTATTGAATATGCTGTTCACAGATGTAATTGTCATGCAAAATGGCTAAGCATCTTGCAATTTTTCAGATGGCATTATTGCAACCCTGTCCCTGTAGGCCTACATGTGACCATTGTCATGCTTGACTGCTCTTGATAGATCTAAAGCAATCGCTTACAATTACGTACAATTATATCAACAGCATACATTTTATTTTCATACATTTAATGAGCAAAAATACCAGCTCAAAACATTATAATGATTATTTTTCCGAGAAGCTGAATTTCTACATGTACGACTTTGCGTCATTTGTGCAGCTGTCAAATCCAAATGCAAGCAAGCAGATTTGGCTACCCTAAAAAACAAATCTACTTCATAACAAACACAAAATTCTGTACATCATCTAAGTACTTACCAATTATTCAGTGGATTTGGCTTTTCTGCTATCTGCATTAATTCCAAGATGAAGAGCAGGATGAACATTTTCCAATTTCCATGATCTGAACTTGAGGATGATTTTTGTCCTTGTTGTCAGGCGAATAAATTTCCAATGGTGATATCTCTGTCAAACGTGGATATGTCCCTACGGTTCTTACACATATAATACCTTGTATATAATTCTCCTAAATGTGCTTATTTATATTTCACTAAAATATGTTTAAATCCGTATATATTGAAAAAAACTGGTGATGATTAATATTCCTCTGAATCAAATAATTAAACATGTGCTTGTGTGTACAACGTCATTGTTTTGTGTGCACATTTGTTTATGTTAGTATGACCCACCTTTGACCTTTAGGCTCAATCATTAACGATTTTGATTGGCTATCAGATGTAACGTCATTTGTTTCCTAGAATTTCATTGGTCAATCACCATAGGGGGCGGAACGCGCCAAGTCCCAAACGAAATCTCGCGCCAAATTTACAGAAAATTTTTACACGAAACGTTCGTCTCTCGTAGAAAAGTTGCTGCTAACACTACAAATTGCTACAGAAACGTGTAAAACTGCTGCAAAGGAACCGATATGATCCAGAGTACGACACAGTGAAGTTTTATCGCAAAAGACCCTCAAACAGATGGAGAAATAAACATTGTTGGTGAGTATAAAAAATGTCCCCTCCCATTTTTTTGCAATAAATTTTTGCTACAGACTCAGATTCCATATGTTTGTAGAATTATAACTGGAGTTAGTTGACCACTGAATTTGTTGGAAATGAGATACAGTGACAAAATCATGTGGATGATAAATGGCAGTAATTATTGGTCTTCAAAAAAATTTATTGACCCAAGAACTGGCACCTGGCAGTTAAAACTTAGGAAATAAGAATGAGCCTAAATTATGAAATTGTTTCGCAATAACATCACACAAGCTTTCATTGCAATAGAATGGGTCTAGGTCTGGCCAACACGTTACAGGGGAAAATGTTGTAGCATATCCTTATAGCTTCTTCCTTGCCATGTGGCTTCGATTTTTAGTTAGACAGTTGAGATCCCGAAAGATTTATTTTGGCGCAATTTGTGCCCATTTTGCCCATCAACCAAATCAAACTGGTTAGAGGATTGGGAGGCAAGATCATCCATGTACTGTAGGTAGGGATTGTCAGACACTCAGTCATTTGTCTGACAATTACCTACACATCGCCTCAGTTAAAGCCACAGGCCTTCAAGAGACTCGAGAAAACGCACGGTCAGTCAGCATCAAGTGGTCCCATCATCAATGGGTCATTCTTATTATCACGTGAAAATGTTCAAATTGTCTCCAGCTATATTTTGTACATTTTGCACAGGAGTATTTGCAAGAACTATGGGAGAATAAGGACCATTTAGTTCATAACACTGAACATCAATTCAAATGTAATGGAAGATGTTTTGAAGTTGAAAGGACTGATCAAAGGAAGGATGTTGCTCAACTTTGTTCACACTATTGTCATTGTAGGGATGGTGTTCTTTTTGCACACATGTCCATAAAAACTAGGCCAAAAGTTTCCTGATTATGTATCAGTCACATAATATAGTTTTGCACAAACAATGAATTTGGCTGTGATATTAACTGTAAAAGTCAAACCAGCAAGTTAGTTCTTGCCAAATGTACATGTATGCTCACTGGTATTTTAGCGTTCATTAAAGGAGTGTAGGCTAAATATGTATCTAAAACATTAATCTTATTATTGAACACCAGAACAGCAGGACCAATGTACATGAGTTATCTATAAATATTATTTGGTCAGGGATTTAAGTATTAGGGTTAAGCCCAACATAAACATCCTACTTTTAGTTTGATCTTAGGACTTTTAATCACTTGAAATTAAAATTAAAATATTTCATATAGACTTATTAGGATAACATAAATAGCAAGTCTAGTCAAAATCAAGGTAGGCAGGATGACTTCTGAATTTGTTTGCATGTTGTCTATGATTGCTTAAAAGTATTCGGCCTAGCCTACCTTAGGAATGAAATGCCTCTACACTGCCGGCACATTGTCAAAAACTACATTTTACTGGATGTTAATAGATTGTTGAGAAGTCTATTGGGAGACAATGGAGCTAAATGTGTCTTCTTTGAAAACCAAAGTTTGACATAGTCCATAGCTTTAACATAAATTCAGATTAGCAAAATAAATTAAAATTTTATGGGATATAGTATAATTGTGCCCCCTCCCTCCCTGGTCTGTGCAGTTTTATCAAACATTTACACTTTCAATATCACACATAAGTATCAATATTTGTTCGATGAAGATGAAGAAACATGTCTTTTCACCCCTTCCCCTGAACGAAGTGAGTTTCATGAAAAAATGACACATTAACTAAATGCTACATCATAAGTTCAATTTTGTGACTGATGCGTTAGGTTGTAATTGGTGGTTTGAACTTTGACATCTGCCACGAGATTAGGATATGCTGTACTAGATAGGACAGTCTGAGTCTAGATGATGTCATTTGATGCCGAAATATGATATTGTATTTTGTCTGTGTGAATGAAAAATGGAGCCATTTGTATTCTGCATGATTTGTCTGTCAGGCACATAAATAATGTAAAGTTGCTGGTCAGTCACTTAAATAGAACTTAAAGGTCAACTTCGGTTCATATAGGCCTTACATGTGGCAGTATTTAAAAATGCAGTAAACTCCAAACTTTTGAAATTCAAACCTCTTTTTTGTGGTTACCTGAGACTTTAGGATGTCCAGTCATCCTGTGGTCTTAAGTCTACATAAATGCATTTTAAAAAGGTCATTATGACTTGGAGACCAGAGTTTCTGCTTTGTAAATGATGTTGTGGTCACTTGGTGGTAGGTTGATCAGTGCATTTTTCCATTATTCTCAGCATCTGAAAGACTGGGATATGCAAGGGCGAACGTAACACCCAGAACATGCCTCTTTCCCTCTATTCGGGAGTCGGCCTTTTATCGGTTATGCTGACTTATAAGGTAGCCTATGTACAGTGACTTTTGACATATAAGCCTACATGTAAACGATAATTGAAGCCGGGCTATTATATTAAGGGGTCTAGGGGGTCGGGGGGGGGGGGGTCCTGTATCAAAGACATCAACACAAGGCATATTATTCAGCTTTACACAGGTGCAAAATTTCACAGAATGAGCGTTATCTCAATATACATGTATGTGCAGGGAACATAGTGACATAGTGAAAATGAAAACACTGAATATTTCCACAGTTTAGTAATTGCAGGTCATTTTGTGTACTCTTGACTCTTGCCCCTTTTACTCATTATATGAGTGTCAGTTGTAGTAATCAATCAATGTCACATGTATAAGATGTCACTTAACTTATATTGCTCCTTTAAATGTACAGATGTACTCTTATGTATAGCCTCAAGTAACAACTGAATTAAGTGAATTTCCAGTGTTGCACACAGAATCAGAAATAGCAGCTAGGAATTTCGACATAAAATGCATTTTTCTAAATGTTTTTACTGTAAGTTTGGTCCAGAAATGGTTCTGATCATTTGAAAAGGCATCCAAATAAAATTCACATATACAGTTCAGTAATTTGCTAATTGATAAAAAATTGTACTCTGTTAACCAGATTTTTCAGAGCTTTGCATTAGACTGATTCGCAAGTCATTATAAGATTAGAGGCTATATTTTTAATTGACTACAATTGTACCATTAGTGATATATTCCTATTCTGGCATTTGGCAACAGAAATGTAAGTTTCTGAAATGAAAACAAGTAAAAACAAAAGTACAGAATTTAAACTAAACCAGGGGCCTAGCCAACTTTCAGTCAGGGGGGTGCGATTGCCCAAAAATTTGGGTTTTTAGTCCGGGGGTGTGCGTGTGACATAAGCAACCCAAAAAAGATTAAGATTTGTTTTGAATTTTACAAAAATTGATATAACTTCCTTCAAAATTGAGCTACAAGCTTCAAATAAAAAGCATTTTTAAACTCTTTTCATTGGTTATGGTGGGGACGGGGTGCGATCACACCCCTTCCTGGCTACGCCTATGTATACAGTTTTCAATATGCTGTGAGAAAGGGAAGTATTTGTGGTGTTTGCCATTTTTTGTCTATTTTTCATTTCTCAGGAATGATACTTATTTGTTGCGGTCAATGTCCACTGCCTAATTTAACTAAAGACAGGGCTTGCATTAACAGTCTCTATAACGTAATTGGGATAATTTGTATGTTCTAGTTTTTGTTCATCATGTCTTCAATTTTGACTTTAAACGTAGCCATATTAAAGTTGTGCCATCTATAAATCAATAAAGGAGTTAAAAGTATCAAACTGCAACTTTTGCACTGAAGAATTGTATTCTTGGAGCAGATTTAAATATTCCAGAGAATGCAGCTGGTCATCCCTAATGAGGACTGAGACAACAAAGCAAACTAATGTTTATTTATGTTTGTAAATTTTAAAGCTACAGTATTTTCAAATTCTGGACAAGGCAGCTCATTTTAAAAATGTCAAGATAGTTTAAATGCATTTACACAAACTATAACAACTTTACTTGGTTATTTAATTATAATCATAATATATTTTGGATTTAGTGATAAATTCATCTCCAAAACTAGTAATAGTAAAAAATCATATTGTTATTATGTAATCTTTAGCTTTAAGTAATTGTAATATGTATAACTCAGATGCGAGTAGGTGATTACTGGTTTCAACACTAGGTGGCTCGTTCAGGTCATATAGCTTGGCAGGTATGGTAGAACGTTCCCTTTAACTTAAATTACATTTGTTTTAGGGGTTCAATTTTCATATCACCCTTATGTATCTAATAGTTAGATAAATAAGGGTTATGTACTGGGAGGTTTTGGATATGGGGTTTATCCTACGGTCCCTCAGGTAGATATGCATATCTCACGAGGGATGAACCCAATATCAAAACCGACCATACATTAACTGCTTTATCCTATATCAAGTAGTTTTCTAATTTTCTTCAATTTTTTTTCAATTTTTTCAAAATTTGTTTTCGAAGCGGGAAGATATGGCCTGGAGCGGGAGATATGAAGGTTCAGGATATGGAAACCTCAAAATCAGGATACGGGATATATCTTACCAAATTATCTCCCTAAAACTCTACTTGGCATAGGATAAATTAAAATACATCCAGTAAAAGAAAATGTTACCTGTCTATTACAAGAAAAGATATTTCACCTTTTCTGATTTTATGACATAAGGTCTATGGAATCTCCCCTAACTAGAAGACACATTTCAAAGTTGATGAATGATTTTCAAAACCATGTTTCTAGATGTACTTTTACATGTACATCTCATGTACATGAATTTTGAATATTTAATGTCGTAAATCAAGATTATTTCTACTCGCATCTAGTCTATTAGTCTATTGAATTAATTATTTGTCTTTTCTTTCTCGTGAAATACATGGCTAAAACAATTGATTTAGAAATCGTAATTTTCTGATAATGACCTATTGCTTGTTTTTTCGAAAAATGACACAGCCAAATGTGTTGTTTAAATGTCCAGTATCTCTGCTCCTCTAATTAAATGATTAAAAACTTGAGTACTTTTATAAATTTTTGAACCAGATGTATAACGTTTTTTTATTGTGGTTAATTACACCTGTAAAACACCATGTTTGATATTTAGTTTAAAAATACATAAATTATCTGTCTACAAAGATTCTTCTTTATACCATTTGATTAAACCAGGCTGTTATTTTGAATTATTTTCAATGCATTTTTTGAATAGAACCTCAATCTTAGGAAAACCAAATGTATGTATTGTAGACTGTTGATTGGTAAATGTTTATTTTTAATAATTTAGCCTTAAATTACCTGAAACTTGATAAAAGCTTCCTAAACTGGACATTACAAAAAATTCAAACCAACGTTCAGACCCATGTTTGGTCCATAGTCCACCTGTTGGCCACAGAGATAACCTATCACATCTGTATCAAATTTCACATGCAGATGGTCATGTTTTAAAATGAAAAATAGAGTGGAATTTACAAGGATTAAAATCAACAGGCTTGTAATCAAGACTTCAAATTGTGGAGAAATAAAATCAGATAAAAACTTTATTCAATTTTAAGAATGAAATGGCGTGAATTAAGAGCAAAGGAAACTGACATATTTAGCCATCTTTAGCATTTACATCTGCCCAAACTTTGTCACACCTTAGGCAATGTTTGTTGTGTCATGTATCCTCTTTGGTCCTCCTCAGTTATGAATCTTGTCAGTCAGCTGTCGTCTGCTTCTCATTTTGTTTGGGTCATTATTATTTTCCTCTTTTTCTCTCTAAAATTTGAATGAAGTATCTAATATTTTTGCATTTCTGCACAATTTAGAGTCCTGGCTAAAAGTATGTTATTTTATTTCCTTGCTAATTCCATTCTGTGTCACCATAATTCATGTTTTGAAATGGGACTGTCATAAAATTTAATTTACCAAATTCTTATCAGTTTGATCTTTTTGACTGTTGTCTGTTTGTATTTTACGATGTGTTGATGTGTGAAAAATACATTGAAGGTTGGTTTGAATTAATCTGATTGCTTTCATGTCATTACCATCAGCTGATAGGATTATTTTGCCTGATGTCAGAAGTTTTGCTGTAATTCCTGCAATTTTCATGTGTGTCCCTGTGTATGGCTGCCTACTAAATTACAATAAATATTTAATTTCAGATTCATTATTCAAAAAATTAATTACCGATGAAATAACTGGAAATCTATTGATTGTGTGTATTTTGAATTGAGTTCTTTGAGTTTCAATATCTTGGTTAACAGGTAATAAACAGGAACAAAAAATGGCATTGAATTTTTTAATGAAACAAAATGAGTAACCCTCAAACGACAAAAAATTCAAATCACACATACCCCTTCCGTGTGAAATGAGGGTATATTATACTGGGAAACGTGTAAACAAAACATGAAGTTGTTTAGAATATAATTTGTATACCGCTACTTGAAAAAACACCTGCCTTCTCTTAAAATAATTTTTCAATATCTAATTGTAAAATTCCATAGAAATTTGAAATTTTTAAGATCACAAATTTATTAGATCTAAAGGGTTTATATATCTTCAACATGAAAAGTTACTGACTTTCATAGGGTTTTGGAAGAAACCACAAAAAAACAATGAAAGTGCATGGAAACATGATGTGGTTTTTAAGGGTTTTGGTCCATCTGCCAAAGAAATTCTGAAAAGAAATCTACTGTTATTGAACGCTGGTGGGTTTGATCCCAAATACCGATACATAAAACTTATTTCAGGGGCTTTCTCAAAAATGCCACTATGGATAGATATGTTTTGTGTTTTGAACAAGTGTGATGTTCTTTTCATCAAGTTTTACAGAACACATTTTATGATTCAATATTTTATAATAAATGTGTTTGATCTACAATTTTGAAGTTAATTAAATAAAAACTTTATAGTTAAACATATCCAAGATAAATGACAGAACAATGACGGAGAACATTTTCGAATGTATCATGATATTTGTAAAAGGAATTTCAAGAAAAATATTATACTAAAGGCAAGCCCCACAAACCATATAAAGCAAATAAATAACACATCTAAAAATGCCTTGATATAATCAGAACTAGAAAGCAAAACAAGATAAATCTGTCAAAAATTAATTATATGTTTTGATATCTTAGCGATATGGTCCCTTGATTCAAGAAAACTATGTTATTAAGGAGTCTTTTGTTTAAAGGGCAGATGTTTCTATGTATAAATAATTTCCCAACAGAAGGCAATTAAAGTGATTTTAACCCTCGATTGTGAGACAGACACGTGATCAAAACTTTGAATTTTTAGCGGTAAAAATTAATCACTGGTCTGGGAACTTTATAAGTAACTTTCAGTTGATTGTAATCAGACGCAAAATTAAGAATCACTGCTGAAAAGGAAAAACTCAAAAAATCCACATGGAAGGAATTAGTGATAGTTATATCTTAAGTCATTGAATTATCCATGCTTCTTTACTTAGAATAATTGTCTATTCTGGCACTGCATGGTTAATTAAAATGAAACGGGACAGGATCGTCACATTTTCACCTGCTGAGAGTGACCACTAAAATCTGGCCAAAATAGGGACCTGTCTAATTAAAGACACAATCGGAAAACAATACTAATTTATAGAAACACATACCTATTAGAGTCAACCAATCAAAAGTGACCAATCTTTAATCAAGGAACTTTGGTAGTTGTCATTAATATTTGGTGGCAATTTTGAATGGGCTTTAAATTTTTGGCAGTTGGTTGTCAGACAATAGAGGATAAACAGCAGATTGGATTATAAGGAAAAAAATTCAAGTATTTTGATAAGGATTTTAAAAGTTAAACAGAAGCAAAATGGTGGTTAAATATGAAAGATATCGGAGATATAAACGGGAAAGTAAGTAAAACAATTAATGTTATTATGTAATAATTGTTTTTTTATATTTGTTTTTATTTTTAAAAAGTTTTATAAACAAGTTGTTTATTCATCCTATTTGGGTAATATTAATCTACTTAATATCTCAAGTTATAAATAAACACCAAATTCATATTTGGGGCAAGTTTATTTATTCCAAAATTATTTCAAATCAAAACATTAATAAGGAAATAGAGGTTTAATTAGAAATTAATATGTGTATAATTTTCTTAATTACATGTGTGTATATAATTATATCTGATCAAAAAGTGACATTTGATTAACGCCCACTTATCAGGGAAGCTCTTTGCCAAATATTGGCATCTGAAATTGGTATGTACTATTTATGTTAGGAAACACAACAATTAAAGCAATTTAAAGGTTATAATTGTAGCATTATTAGATGCGTTAATAGGTGTGATAAGTTAAGTGTCATTGTAGGTAATTTTTTTTTGAGAATGGCCACAGAATTTTAAGTTTCAGTTTCGGAGCAATTTAAGAATATACAAGTGAAAGTTGTTGAAACTATGCAGATAAGTTTTATATGTATGCATTTTAAATCAATTTAAAGGCAGAATCAGATCTATAGGGGGTGACAAAATTACAAGCAACGTGCATAATTGACCTACCAATCTATTCCTTACAATATCAAATACAATATCTCCCAAAAGATTCACAATATGTTATAAATTGGTGAAGTTATTAAAGATTCAAAGTACAAAAATGGGTGAAAAATGTTTAAATTCTCCCAAATAATAAGAATGGTAACCATTCTTATAAAAAATAATACATTATTGTAAAAATCTATTGTTTTCCTTGAATAAAGTATGCATTTTTGTGATTTATAGAAAATAGACATGACAAGGAATGACATGAGCCAAAAATATTCTAAAATTGAAACAATTTTTTGTTTAGCCTGCTCGCTATCTCTGATTCTCTCTTTAATTATGTAACGAGATTTTATCAAAATAAATCTTGATTGTTTTTAAGTGCTTGGAATTAACAAATAGGAATGAAGTGAAAGGATTTTAGTTTAATCGTAGCATTTTTGTATATTTTCAGTTTTGCAAAACTCCCAGAAACTTAACAGAATGGATGCCGAGAATATAGCTCCGAGTTTTATCCCTGGAGATTTCAACATCAATAATTATGAAGAAAACACTGATGATGCTGGGATTGAAACGGCTGCTTTGCCGATGTTCGAAAGCTCCCAGAATGCACCACTAAGCCAGGATCTCCAATGTAGTCAGGAGTCGCTACCTGGAAGTCAGGAATCGGCAGAGGTTCAGTTACAATTCCTCAATGAACTCAATTCACAGGAAAAACAAAATATGATGGATGATTTAGACACACTTCAGGAATCAACAAAAGAAAATACCATGGTAACAGCACAAACATTTTCACCTGAATTTCGACATCCTACTTCCCCTAGGCCTGTCATGGGAGGTTTCAAAAACTTTAATATTAGTACTGGAGGTAATACCATAGACCACTCAAATGTAACCCCTACAAAACCTGTAAATTCCACCGATCCTTGGACACCTACAGCAAACCTTAAGGTCTTAATGAGCGCAGCAAGCCCAGAGATTCGCAATCGGGAAAAACAGAAAGAACTTTTTCAAGATGAGGCAAAAGATTTGACATGCCAAGAAGATATAAATATTGATGTAATGGAAGAAGAACCAACAAATGAGTTTGGTGGAGGAAAGATCAAAGTGGAAGGAAGTCGCAAAGATAAATCACTTGGATTGTTATGTCAAAAGTAAGTCTTAAGTGATTTAATTTTTATCGGTTTTCTGCCATAATTTATCAAAAGTGACCGAGTTATAAAAATGTGTAGCAGCATTAAGGCATTATAATTGATTGAGTTATTCAATAAAACCGAAAAAAGGGTTTTTGTTGCCCTTTTACCAGGCCGTTATTTGAGAAAAAAATCTTCAAAATAAAGCTTATTGTATTTTAAACAATAAAACAGCAAGAAGTTCACCTCGCCAAAACCTGAAATTTTGGCGGAAAAGTTATCAAAAACATTTAAGAATAGAAATTATGGAACAGGTTTTGTTCAACAGGTTAACAGAAGGTACAAGGCTATATAACACATTGTGGTTAGAAAATATCTCCGATTAATGAACTTGCGTCTATTCTTTCTCATGATCTATAAATCTATCCTGTCTGGGAACATGTAAACAATGACAGGTTCTTGGGTGAAAAAATCCTCATAAAAAGCTTTTTTAACTAAATGTAAAGAACTATCAAAAATATTAATAACCCATCATTAAAATTTGTTTTTTCTTACAAACGGTTAACATAAAAAAAATGTTATAAAAAGTTGCCCATATGTTCAGTTTTCAAGTTGAGTGTGTTGGTATTTTTGCTGTTTCACTATTGGAGCAGCTGGGTTTTCCCAGTACTACTATTATCACTTGAATTTTTTTCAAAATTGTTTTTTGGCACCAAGTCTTGATTTCATATTTATTAAAAGTACCAAACTTTTTTCATTTATTTCTGGTAGAAATCAAGTAAATTATTTAAGTAAAATGAAATTACCCAAATGCGAGTAGGTAGTTACCAGTTTCACCACCAGGTGGCTGATTCGGGTCAATTAACATGGCAGGTATTTAAGAAAGTTCCCCTAAACTTGAATATTATCAATTTAAGTGGCTCAATTTTCATATAACCTTTATGCATCTGATACTTATACTAATGAAAATATGTCCAGTAAAGCAGAATATTATCTGTCCACTAAAAGAAAAGATATTTAATTTTTTGTGATTTTATAGCATGGGGTCTATGGGGAATCTCCCCGAGCTAGAAGTCACATTTTCAAAGAAAATTAATTTTTCAAAGTTGATAAACACTTTTTAAAAACACATTTCTAGATGTAATTTTACATGTAGATTTCAAATATGATATTACTTTGACTGAATTTTGAATTTTTAATGACGTAAATCAAGATTATTTCTACTCGCATCTGGGTTATTGTCATGGTAATAAATTAAAACCATTGATATAACATCTTTCTTATTTTAATTTTATTTTGATATAATGTAAATTACTGTTAATTAAATGTTGTAAATCATCAATATGAAGGAAATAAAACGATACAATACAATAATAATGCACAGGTGCATTACATTGTCACAATGTATGTTCTCATACGATGCTTAAATGGAATATCAATAGAGCTGAAAATGAAGATAACATGATGATATGATGTTTTACGGAGAATTATTTTATTTTGCTTTTTCAGGTTCTTGAATCTCTATCCCGAGTACCCAATTGGACATCCTACCGAAATCTGTCTCGACAATCTGGCATTAAGTTTAGGTAAAGAAGTATAATATGTTAGTTCTATGTAAGTTCATCTCTCTGGTTAATATATCAGAAATATATCAAAAAAAAAAATAAAAAAAATATATATATATATTCTCTGAAGTTAAGAATTTGACTTGTTTCTGAAATATGTTAAACATTTATTTGGACTTGGAATGCGAGTCCCTAAGTAAATTATCGATGCATAAGTGAAGATTATAATTTGAAAAATAATTGTCTTTTATTTTGTTAATGATGACCTCATAGTGTCATTCTTTTTCAAAAAAAAACATACAAGAAATAGATTTTTAAAAAGATTCTTTTTCATTATGTTAATGATGACTTCAAAAAATAATTTTTCCCAAAAGATTGTATTTGACATAGCAGGAGACTTAATATTTTCCTTAACCGTTTCAGGTGTAGAAAGACGTAGAATCTATGACATCATCAATGTTTTGGAAAGTGTTGAAATCGTCAGCCGTATTGCGAAGAATCGTTATGCATGGCATGGCAAGACAACCCTTACCAGAACCCTGGCAAGATTGAAGGTAAGAACGCTCTTAAAAAGTGTTAAAGCTTTAAATACGAAATAAACTTAGATGCCACAATGAAATATCAAAATATTATAAGAGTATTATATATTTACAGAGGAATTCCAGTAAACAGACATTATGTGAATTTCATCAAATTTCGTTACTACTTCGATACATTCTAAAAAATTGAGTCATTTGATGTGTTAATTTTTATTGAATTTTGTTTGTTGAAAATGTTTGTTTGCAATTTTTTAATAATTTTATCTGATTGTAGCAACTTGGGGAGGCTGAACAAATGAAAGAACAGCTGGACAACATGGGGTTGTTCATGCCATCGGACTCCATGGCAAGACTGAAGGTAGGGTATTCTCATTAAATGTTCAGGTTTTAAATACAAAATATGCTTAGATAGATGCTAACATGGATATAATGAGAAAATTATGATTTTGAAGTAAACTATATAATTTATTTACCAAGGAATTAAGCATGGGCTTTCAAGAGGAAGAAGTTATTTTTCTAGAATTTCATGCGAGTACTTAAAATGGATTTTCATCAATTCTAAATTTTGATGTCTTATTGTAGCAACTTGGGGAGGATGAACAAATGAAGGAACAGCTGGATAACATGGGGCTGTTCATGCCATCAGAATCTGGGACAAAGCTCGAGACTATGAAAGAACTCCTTCATGTGACTGACCATACCAAAGTACCCCTAAAGAACAATAATGAAAATAATACCAGAGACTCTATTCGTGACCCTATGTTTAAAGGTATTCATTTTGAAAACATAGTCTTCCAAAAATAAGTAGTTCTGCTCGCCTTCACAAGATGGTGAAGCACGGGGAGGGAGGAGACTTGATGGAAGACTAATTAATTATTCATGAATTGAATTGAATTGAAGATATCTAGCAAAATTGCCCATATATCTGAGTTTGGTTGTTGACCTTGTATCAGACATTTTAATTTCTTAACAATTCAAAATTTGCCTTGTATCCAAATGTATGTAGTGTTTTTCTGAGATTCCATGCTTTTCCTCTAAATTTTGCATTCTTACACGTAACCACTGTTTAATTTCATTCCACTTTTCACAAGGTTTTAATCGTTTTATGTGATTACAGCTGCATACCAGAGAAAGGAAAAATCTCTCGGAATCATGAGTCAGAAATTCTTGATGTTATTCCTGGTAGCAGACTACAAGCCAATAAGCCTAGAGCTTGCTGCCAAAATCCTCATTGGAGACCCTAATGTTGATAAAACTGAAAACTCAAAATTCAAAAGTAAGTGTATTGAGATACATATAAACTGGGAAGAGTTCTAAAAGATGAGCTTCTTTATAAAACAGCTCAGTTACAAGTTCAACAAAATCAAAACAGTTTTGCTGGTCTGCAACAATGAATTCTTAGATGTCGATTGTTACATATGGCAGGTGACATTTTGCATGTTGCCTTGCTGAGATAATCGAAACAGTTTTAGCAAAAAATTGAAATGTCCTCAAGTGACCACTTTATAGAAAATTTTAGTTAATCAGTTTTTTAAATCATCATGTTCATGTCCTACTCTCAAGAATCTAAAATCTCAACATTTTATGATAAGAAGTGGAAAACTACAGTATAATTATGATACAATTAAATAAATTATGTAATCTTTCATAATTTTCATTTTCAGCAAAGATAAGAAGACTATACGACATCGCCAACATTCTCAGTAGCCTCAATTTGATTGAGAAAGTGCACATAAATGTTGTCCGAGGACGCAAACCAGCTTTCAAGTACATTGGCCCCAATGTGGATGATCCTACATTGGTTGATACTGATGCTTCAGACGGTAAGGCCATGATTTTTTTCATGAAATATCTTGCATTGTCACATCAGGGTACTGCTTCAAATTCATTTTCCTCAAGTTAGTATTTAGAAATCATGAATTTTTTACACAAACCGGTTTTGAAGTTTGAAGCTTTATGAGACATGAGGATATAAAGTGGTCGGTTAGCAGCATCGATAACAAATGGCAGGGGGTGAGATTTTGCATGTTAAAGCGTTGTTGTGATAATCGAAACAGTTTAAGCAAAAAATTGAAATCCCTATTTACATTATTCATCTCTATTTCTAGGTTCAGCCTCTACTGCTGATCACCGCCAACTTTCCTGTCACTCCGTCCTTGAAAACAACTCTGGACGAGCACAGCCACAGGCGACTATTACCCAGAATCCTCAGCCAACATCTAAAGTAACGAATAACAAACCAAAATCAAGCTCACTAAACAGATTGAAATTCGACGGAAGAGAGCCAAAATCAAAACGATCGTTATCGAGACACGCTTCCTTTGAGATGATATGTGCAGCAGCTGAAAAAGAGAGGTCGAAATTGTACGCACACTTACCTGGTGGAACACCAAGTAAATTAACAGGTATAGTTTATTGCATTAGTCACACGTTTAATTTAATTTAGTCAGATGTACATGTAAAATTCCTCTCTGACAAGTTTGGTCCATAGGGATAGCCACAAATTTTTAGCTCATTGCCGATTATATTTTTACATATGTAATTACCAGTACAGTTTAACCCTTTCGTGCCCAATCATGCCAATTGGCGTGATTGTTGTTTTTACATGATGTATTGATAATAGAAATGTTTATTTTAAAGAGATGTTCCGCATGATTAATTTTCAGAAAAACCAGCAGCGCCAACGCTTTCAAAAACCCAAACAATGAAAGTGCTTCAAAGCATACCACAAGCGACGACAAATCAAACTGACAATTCTGAAGTACAATCTGTGAACCCCAAAGATGTAAACCCCAAAGCAAAGAATCGTATTATATTCAAAACCAAACAAACAAAAGTTCCTGCGCCGGCTGCAACTATCGTTCATTTGACTAAAGAACAGATTGACGCTGTTCTACGATCATTAAATACAACAAATGTTGCAGACGCACAGACTCAATCCTCGCCATCATTGGCAAACTCTGTACTTTTACATCTGAAAAAGGCGTCTGCTCAAAACCAAAAAGAGGCTCAATCAAAAACTGCCCAAAAGACTGTGATCGCGACAACTCTAGGAGACATAAAATCAGAACCAAATGACTTTGAATCTGAATCAAACAAAGGAACTGAATTAACAAGAGACATATATGAATCGCCGACAAACGTTGAATTGAGAAAAGTTGGAAAGAAAATTACTCCAACTCATGACAGCCTCACACCCGAGCAGCTCTATAAAGAAACGCCTCTTGGTAACATGTCACAGGCTGAAGATGCAAATATTCGAAGATCTAAACGATCGATTCAGCAACGCCATCTAGGAGCTGATTATGAATATACACAAGTAACGAAAAAATCTAGAAATAACTCGAGTGCTGAATTAGACAGCGATGAATCATCACAAATGTCAACTTCTTCGCAGGATGCAGAAGTTGAAAGAATTACCCACCATTCCCTGCAGAGGAGGAGACTTACTGTTAAACCACGTCCTTCTCCCTTACGAGCGCTCCATTTGGAACCAGAATTCAGAGAATCCCCGTCAACATCAAATCTGAACACTCCATCGCCAAGTTTCGAAAATAAATTTGGAGAGTATGACAATCATCTTGCGTCTCCTCTACCAGAGGCAGATGATAATTTGAATAACAATAAATTTCTCGCAGGTATTGACCCGAGTGTACCAATGTTGATCGGGGAGGGTCTACGTCCTGCCTCAGCTGATGAACTCGAGCAGAAAAATGCAGTTGCCGCCACATCTTATCAACCAATCATTTCAGCGAATATTATGCGCCACACAGCACCAATTACTGTCGTTAGGATCTCCCCGACTGAAATCACCCAACGTGGCTCAGATGCAGCATTTCCCGCCTCCATGTTATCCCCTAATACAATTACCCCCGTTTCATTTCAACAAGTGAACACTATCACCCCAGGACGGAACATCAATGTTTCATTTAAGAATACCCAATCTGGACATTTCCAAGGGGGGTCTGGAACAACACAAATGACTTACGCAACCCAGCTGGCCAAACAGCCTTGGTTCGTGAATAACCCCCAAAGTCTGTTGACCACAGGGGCAAACCAGGTGTCCGCCCCAAGTGGATTCTATCAGAATACCCCTGGTGGGTTCATACCTCTCGCTACAGCTATTTCATCAACTGGAAGTGCAGGGCATCAACAGAACATTCCCCCAATGCAGGCAGTTAGGAACCTTACCATGGACATGATAGAGCAAATATCTCACCAGTAACATTATTTTCCAAAACCATAGGAACATTGTCCTTCTCTCCCAAAGGTGGAGAGCCTCGTACCACAAAGGTACAGTCTCATACCACAAAGGTACAGCCTCATACCATATACAAGGTAGATACTTACCATAACTACAGGTGGTAGCATATATACCACAGAGGTAGAACCTCATACCAAAGAGGTATATTCTTATAGTACCATAGATACCAAAACGGTAGATATGAATAAACTAGCAATATAATTTTTTTGTCAAAACTGCTAATATTAATACACAAGTACCTTTGATACTTATAGCATTTTTCTTAACTTGCCATTTTTAACTATACTATGAAATAAAGATGGCGTTAAAATCAATATAACTTCCCACTCAAAAGTGGAGAAAAATTCTCTGGAATGAGCCTGAGGGTATTATAACTTACCTGGTTCTCATCTTGTGAACTATAAAAGTGCAAAGCTAAATAAATGCCAAGTTAGAAGAATGTCTAGTACATTAGAATAAGGTCCAGTTTTATGGATTGCCTCAAAAAATGGCTTATATTGAAAGGACTGTTCAATACATTTAGTATTATTTATTTTGATCTGTGCACTAAACGTACACGAAGTTTACACTTGGTGTACAGTCTAGTAAAAGTTTCACATTTTGAGGTAATTAATCTATTTATAAACACGGGTTGATTACCTAGCTGGTTGTTTTCTTGAGACTGTCCACAAGACTGTAGTGTAAAATACCCATGTGTAAGTTTCTCTATATTGAGGCTCAAACAAACGTGTACAAAAAAGTAGAACACTAGATATATAATATTTAAAATCATGAAATAATAAGAAATATTAGACATTTGAAAAAAATGTTCACTGTATAGTATTTAAACCCTAATGGTTAAATGAACTTAGACCATATAAAAATGCATTTATAAAGTCTTGCATCAACCCCCTGTGCCACACCCACATTTTCTAACACAAGAAAATACTGAGGGATGATATACAGGGGCTTAATGCAAGAATACCTTTTAATTGAGAAGATGGCTGTTTAGTTTATCAAGTTCTAAGAGAAAAAGTGTAATAGATCCAACATTGCCAACTGTAATATTCACTGGTGTGTGTAATGATTATATTCAGCATTTACCACTTCAAGTAAAAGGTTATAAAAAACAGAGTTAGGCCAAGCAGATACATGTATCTCAGTTCTTGTAAAAAGTACACTTGGTTGCTATTTTCACAAAATATCAAAAAATGTTTCAAAATTCCACTTTACCAAAGCAGAGGTATGTAGTAGGGGGATGGGGGTGGCTCTGAAGGGCTTTTAGCTAGACTACAATGAAGTTATAATCCAGGAAGTAGTCGTAGCGAAGAAATTTTGTAGTGTCAAATAACATGAGCTCAAATCCAGATTGGTTTTCAATGATAAACCGGAAACTTATTCATGTAGTTTCAAATATCATATTAGCATGTACATGACCAACATTATTTGCCAATCTTGGGAAGTGATGTAAGACTATGTAATAAGTCTTGCAATTAGACCCTATATCCTCCCTCCCACCTTCCTTTACTGAGTAAGAGATGATATGGGGGGGGGGTGTTAACAAGGTCTCAATGCCTGACTAGTTTGTTGTCTTTTCTTGTAAGTAATTGTTGATAATAAGGACATTTGTGACTTCTTCGTTGGCATGATAATTTCATTTGTACTTTTTGAAACCCAAAATTGTACAGAGATCAATAGTCTTGTATTAGGTCTCTAACCCCCTCCCCCCTTATCTGCTTCCCGACCTCTCTTTGTGGAGGAAACAAGACTATGAAATAACTCGTAAATCATACCAGTTCTATGTTAATTTCGCTAAGAGTAACTAATTGTCTGCAGTGTTCTCCACAGGAATTTTTCTCAAATGGGTGCAAAATTCTCATTTTCACAATTCAGACAAATTGGTCAAAATATGCTCATTTTTCATTGTTTTTCTCATTTTCAAGTGGGTGCAAATGAATTGTCAAATAGGTGCAAGCCTATATTTGAAATCTCAGGTGGATGCTGCACCCACTTGCTTTAATGCTGAGGAGATCACTGGTCTGATTTAGCAATGGACAGAATTTTGAAACACGAAATTTGTCACGACCTAAAATATAACTGGATGTTTTGAATTCTTGAATTCTGCATCCCACAAGACATGTTTTACAGTATGCCTGATTATATACATGTTAAACTCAATAGGAGTTGCGCTTGAGGTATATCTTAACCATATGTATGTGATTACACACTGACTTGTATTTTTACAATGTTCAGGATACCCATGAGATTTCCTGGATACTTCTCGGAATCCAAAAAGGTCAGATTAGGAAAGCAACATATTTAAATAATTAGAACTCTTAATGTTTTGCAAGAATTGTCTATATAATTTTAGTTAAACTCTTTTTTCAAAAACAATGTCAATCCATTGCCCCCCCCCCCCTCCCTCCAAAATTATTAGGAGGTACAAGTACAAAGTTTTGAAGGTATCAAAAATATTATATAGATGTGTAAGGCAGTATTTTATAAGCCATATTTATAAGGGTATTTAATTAATTATAAGTTAATTTTGAACTTAAGCTATTTGAAAAAAGCATTCATATATGAGACAATTAGAGATTTCTTATTCCAAAACCATCCGAGCACTTAATGCTGGCATATCTCCCCATATTACTGATTGTTTGAATTGTATAGATGGCACTAAAATCTTTGTGCCTTTTAAGTTTTGTATCTTATGAAATACTGAGCTAATGAATTATTGTTGACGTAAATTAGAGATGATGAGATAATAATAGTATTTTGTTTCATAAGAAATATGAAAACATTTATATGTTAACGTGCTATATTTGGTCACTTAATGGACATTGCACACACAATCTTTGCTGTAAAAGATTCTACTTTCGAACATGAATTTGATATTATGTAAGCTCATAGCGAATTGTAATTCGAGAAGTCCGTGGGAGTGATGACTTAATGTTCCCATTTTTATGACACGCGTTTGCGTCAGTGCGTGTAACAAATGGTTAGACTTTTGTGATGGTGACAACAGGGGTTGACATTTTGTCGTGCTTTGTTATCTGATCAGTGTTCCTGTTTTGTCGTAATAGATCTTTTTAATATACCCTACCACCTTTTGGTACATCAATGAAACTATGATATAGGCCTATTAATACCTAAATTGATTCTGTCATTGGTTTAACAACAATCTGACCAGGCACAAATAAGCTTAACTTATTGCTAATTTTGAAAAATACAACCAATGACATCATCTATCTAGCCGGTATGTCCTACCTTTTTTGCTTGATGTATCAGTATTTATTGGAAATGTTTTTTAGGGCTGTTGCTTGATTGATAAATCAGTTACAAAATCTTGTAGAACTCTGATGCCAAATCTAAATCTGAACTTGTGTAATAAGGTTTATCCTTAAAAATCTGATTTTGCTGTGAATTCAAATAACATTTTATTTATTTTTATAACATAGTAATTATATATAACCACGAATTCAACATTTTTTGCTCATTCATAGAGCTCATCAAGGTGTGGGACATAATATCCAAATATTAAAAAATTCAAAAAATGTTATCTTCAAATTGCCATCATTTAGGTATAAGGTTCGAATTTTTTATTACAGATAGAAATTCAGACTCAATTTATACTGGCTTTAGTTGATTTTTAGTTTATTGTGGTGAATTGGTATATAGTATAATTACATTGGTGTGAAATGTAACTGTGTTTTAACAGTGAGGTCAAGGTTCTACTAGAAATGTATATCTAGTAGATGTGAATATGTAAATTATCATAAAATAATGAATAAATATAATACATACAATGAATCTGAAATACTTTATTATGTTTATGTGCATGTACAGTAAAAAGTTTGCAGTAAAACCTGTATATCCGAACACCTCACAAATCCCAATCAATTTTCTTCTATTTTTTCCTTCCTTTGTTGTTTCCATTGTTTCAGTCGGATCTGTTACATCCATCATGATCCTCCTTTTAAACACATGGCTACAGATCTCGTTCCTCAAATCAAACCAAATTCATAAGGGTTAAGATATCGAGAGATTCAAATAAGTGCATAAACAAACAAACAAAAATAGAAAAAATATCAATGATAATCTTTTTAGTTTCATATACCTTACAGTTCCCGCATTTCTTTCTCTGCATTAAGCACAATCAACAATCAATCACTTTCAAACAAAACAACTCATTTTCATAACTTTCTAATATTTTATTACAAATTGCACTATTCCTATCATTACGTCATACTCCAAAGTAAATTCACCAATATAAGTATATTCCAAACCAATATTCTCATACTTTCAAGGTATTCATATAGATTAATCCATACTTCAAGTTATTCTCAAATGTTTGCTATAATTCTAAAAAAAGATGAATGCTATGTCAAGAATCGTATAAGAATAATAAATATTAAATTAAATATAATGAATTTATTTGCATAAAGATTTTAATAAGGGAGACTTCTGTGTCTTGTGCCAAATTTGAAACCGCCAGCCTCCAGCCAATCCCGAACAAGGAAAGAAAAATTATTGTTTTTCTTGAATAATAATTTGCAATTCAATATTTACTTTTAATATTTCACAATTCTTTATATATCATTCTGAATGTCTATGAAGTAACATCTGTTTTGATGAACACTGGTTTCAGTAATGATGAACACCTAGTAATATCATGATGAACATCAGAATCATATGATAAGCACTATGGCAACATGACACAACAAGGTCACGTGTTCTCATTTTATTGAATTCTTTCAACTGTTTATCACGTTTTAACAATAAACGATTTCATTTCTTTTGGCAGCATTAGCATACAGGTGTTCATCATACAAAACGCTAGACCCAGGTGTTCATCATTGCAAACACCTAGGTGTTTAATCTTGGATCATTCTCTGTTTTCCCATGTTAATTCCCGCTTGAGACGCCCCCTTATTAGATCCTGCCTGGAGTCCAATTTGGGCGTCACGCCCCTGTCGAATCTGCTCCTCGCTGAAATTCCTCTTATTCTCGTCGGACATCTTTGGTCCTATGCCTGGCTGGCCCTTGTTTTGTGCCTAGAAAAATAGAGCATGTTTTTTACTGCGAAATACACCCCTCTCCAGAACTCTGGAAAACCTCACTTTACCTTGTATAGCATGATAGCGTTAAGTGTTGCCTTTTTGTAAATACAACAGTGTCCGAAAGAAAAGTTGGAGTTACCACGGTTTTGGAAGAGAGAATAAGACGTGCATTTTATCTTTGCCGTACGTTTTTCTTGTCCTTTAATCCTCTTCTTAAAAGTTTACCCACCAGGTTTTCGAATTCACATTTTAAAAGGCTAAGCATGCACAAATAAAAGAAATTATTTTGATATTTCAATATTATCCTGGACAAACTCATGTATGAAAAAAATTATCAGCTAAAATTTTAGATTAATAAGATATGATTTTAACTTTCTATGTGTTTACGTCACATAACTGTATTTAACGTCAACAATGTCAGTCTGTCGAGCAGACCCAAAAGATCGTGACAATGTAATATCCGAGCCTGATGTTGGAGTCTATGCACCTGACTTCTACTTACAATTCTTCCCAAAGCAAGCAGAGTCAATCGGACCTGCTTCAGATTTTTCTTTTCAAATAAATCTACTGTCACAAATATTTCTTCTTGTGGAACGCCGTATTTTACAATAGCTTTCTGGAATCGTTCAACGTTTTCTCGGAGTTTGAATCCTCCACCGCTGGTAGCGATTTTCTTCTCTGGGATGGAATCAGGGGCGAGCTTATTGATGAACCTGAAAAACATGGACAAACTTATTGATGAGTCTAATGATGACATAAAATGGAAAAATCCGAAAAAAAGCTTATTCGTATGAACCTGAAAAACATGGACAAGTTTATTGATGAACCTGAAAAACATGGACAAGTTTATTGATGAACCTGAAAAACATGGACAAGCTTATTGATGACATAAAAAACATGGAAAAAATCTTATTCGGATGAACATGAAAAACATAGACAAGTTTAGTGATGAACCTGAAAAACACGGACAAGTTTATTGATGAACCTGAAAAACATGGACAAGCTTATTGATGACATAAAAAACATGGAAAAAATCTTATTCGGATGAACATGAAAAACATAGACAAGTTTAGTGATGAACCTGAAAAACACGGACAAGTTTATTGATGAACCTGAAAAACATGGAAAATACAAATCATCTCAATATTACGAATGTTCCTTGGTGTTATAGTTTGTGAGAATGGTACTTAGTGGTGGGGGGGGGGTTGTTAGACGTAAGACCATGATATAGGATAGTTGGGATTTGTTTTTCTTATGACTGTTGTACTCTTAGATGTTTTCTTGCTGTAACAATTTTGACCCTTTCCATTTGGCACTCGTGTATAAGCTACATGTACATATTTATGGACATTATAAGGCAAAACCAATGTAATAGATAGTCTTACACCAACTTCTGAACCTATTTGATATCTCCTCCTCCATTTAATTCTAGTTGGGAAAGTGAAGTGAAGGGGGGGGCAGAATCTTGTACGAAGAAGAAATGAGGATAAAACGTGCCTCCCCTGCTTATATGCTCACAAAGAACCCAAAGATGCACGATTAGGGGTTTGGATTAGGGGTTGGGGTGAGGGAGATGGCTAGGATTATGGGTTACGGTTGGGGGGAGGAGTAGGATTAGGGGTTGGAGTCCGGGGTTGGGGTTATGGTTGACGCGTCTTCGGCCAGCTGTGGTTGTCTGCCAAAAATCGTTACAATACTGCCATCCTTCTATAGGTCTAGTACTTATGTTCAAATGTATGTTACTACGATGTTCTAACATTTATGATCTAAATGTCTTTCTCCATTCCCTACGTAGACGATCTAACCACAATGATGGTAGGCTATTCCAGGGACGTTTTGAACCATTTGCAATACCGAAAAACTTTTTGGATTTCAATTTTCTCCCTGTGCCCATATTCATGAAACTTTAGCAAATTGAGATATTTAATAAAATACTAGTGGAGAGATGAGTTGTGTGTCAAAATTCAATGAGAATTGAAGAGAGCGTTCAGAATCAGATTATTACAATGGATGACACAGCCACGTGGGCACACTATTGTTGTTTTTATTGCGCCAGTGTTGTTCCGTATTATCCAATAATGAAAATACTAAATGAATGCATTTTTAAAAATCGGTCTAAATCTGCGTCTTCATTCACTGAAACTACGCAATGCACGCGCTGTAAGATATCACGAAGGACTTCCATTATATAATCATCGTATCGTATACTATATACAACCCCAGAGTATCATTTTCATCACGACTTTATATTTATAACACAGCTGAGAATGGAATGAAGTATATAAAAGTCGTCAATGTACACAATAGCAAAGAATCACTTCCGGTTTACTGGAACAAAAGGGGGTACCCATATTTTAACCATCACGCATCCTATGTAAACATTATCATTGTTTCTGGATCACCCCCGCCCGGAGTATCATCTTCGACACGAAGCTAACAAAATAAGGTCCTCATTGTGCAAATAAATCACACCCATTTTGTTTGAACCAATTAGAACAGAGATAATTAGACATAGGGGTCATATGACAAGAACAAAAGAACAGTCCTACTAAAAGGCAACATACGCAGGCACACTTGATATCTTCAGTCTTGTAATGCGACTGCAAAATTTGAAAACACTTAGCAAGTCGTAGAAGATGCACGCGCGGGGCAAGGTTTCAACAAGGACGTCCTTGGTTTCAGATATAAATGCGAACTTTTTTTTTCATTGGAACCACAACATAAATACTTATGAGGGGTGATGTTCCATGTTACTTACCGACAAAGAATAACACCATTTTTCAAATCTTCTCCAAAGTTTCCTCTTGGTAGTTTTTCACCCATGATCGTCTCCATCCAATCCAAGATTTCATTCTCCTGCTCGAGGTCTGCTCCCTAAAACAACAAGGAGATCAAACATTAAGACATATTCAGTCCTTTAAACAACAAGGAGATGCATTTATTATATTTTGACTTGCTCCCTATAAGTAACAACAAGGAGATATATGTTCATTTGAACTAGCTCCTTAGAACTGGGAAATATTTGGACATGGACTTTTCTTAAGTGCTAAATAGATTTGAACCTGCTCCCAAAACAAATGTACCCTGCGTGCAGAGTCTAGTTAAACTACACGGAGAGACGGAGCTCTCTTTTAAGAAGTGAAGTCAAACGAATGCAAAGGGTAAAACAAATGGGATGCGGGTTGGACCTTCTCCTAAAACACAAAGATATCTGCTCAGTAGAAGAAAGCACACTGCGCTCCTGATTTTACGTTCTGTTAATGTTTGCCTTTGAAGCGGAATTAAAAAAAACTTTGAAAGAACACACAGAAATGTGGAAAATCATTCATTTGCTATCAGGCCTAACGTATTCATGGAATCGTCTAGCGAATAAACCACTAAGATAACACGCCTTCTAAAGATATAAATAGAAAGTTCACAAACAGTGTTCCTGATATCAAACGCGTTGAGATCAGCATGAAGTGGTCAACTAATATTGCATCAATATTCTGTTATTCAATCTCTTTTTGAAACATTTATGTGGAAAGTATTTTACCTAAAGTCATCACCTGGGCTTGGTGTAAGCCTTGCCCCTTCAAATATTTCACACAAATCAAATCAAATCAAATGTACCTGTATATTTTCTTGAATTATGCCTAAATTGCTTTGAATGCCAACGAATTTTGCCAACTTTGACGTTTCCCTCAAAATTGATTGAGCCTGAAGTTTTCGTTTCTCGAATTATAGTTTCTCAGAAATGCGTTCAATGGCGTGAACGGAGTGTGGCTTGTGTATGGAATGTGGCTTGTGTACGGAGTGTGGTTTGTGTACTTGTGTATGTGTACGGAGTGTGGCTTGTGTACGGAGTGTGGCTTGTCCGAAATTGATCTGCTTTTAAAATGAAGAGACTCAAGCTCAAAATATCTAAGTAATGAAATTGAAGAAACTTCCATAGAGCGATCTCCAAAGTTCTTCAACATAAAGTACCAGCAGATTACTATATTCTAGTATATTTATGACAGGATGCTAACAGATTTCCAACCATGATGGTAATGTAACCTTTGAATTTTGGCAGGATACATCACCCGATTGCTTTTATATTTGGATACCTTGCGCGCAGAGTCTAGTTATAAACTACCGAAGACGAAGCTCTCTTTTGAGAAGCAAAGTCGAACGAATGCAAGGGGTAATATTTGGGAGATCACTGCTTTAAAGTCCCCGATAAATCGGGCTACGTATACCGCCGTGTTTACATTAGGGGATTAGAAGAGTTTATTTTTTATTTAGGTATGCAAGCTACGTATATCAATATTAGGCCTTCATTCATGTACTCGTGTGCATGTAATCAGCATGCCCTTCAATATTATGTAAACCAGGCTATTCAAGTACTGTATAATGTACACTATTTATGTGTGTACTACATACAATACAATTCCCTGGGAAACAAAACACAAATACTTTTTATATGTTCAAAATGAGCCATTTGATTGATGCAAACACTAAATAGCTTCATAAATAACATCTACAAAGTATATCTAATAGTAATTTTCAATTTCAATGGTGAAACTTCCCTGGTTACGATTATATGGGAAATCATCACGAGACGAAGATCGTTCGCCTTCCTGGCTTACCTCTGAATCGTGTACCTGGTAATCTCTTTATATAGTTTAGCGAGAGCGGTGCGCCTGCGCAGTTTTAAACTTTGGCGCACACTTTAAGTGATAGGAATCTTTTTTCCGAAAGTATCATCAATTTAAGAATCGGGGTATTTTAGAAACCGATTTGGAGTTATCATCATCACAGCGGTCAGTTATCTTGGAATTCAATACATTAATCTTCATTTGGGATCTAAGGAAGTTACATACACAAATATTATCATGTTATATTGGTCCGTACTTTTGAATGCCAATTGGCCATTATAACCCTTGAGTTTCTCCTGTTCTGTTTGTTGGTTTGTTCGTTCGTTTCACGGCATATTCTCTCTGCAATAATAGCAGCACCAATATCTCCAATTGTCGCCCACAGGATCAGTGTTATGGACGATAAAGAAGAATCAATCGGAGATTTTGCAAGGATAATTCTCGGCATGTTAAGCCAAACCTCATTTATTCCAAAATGGCGAATGGCTTTATAACGAAACACCTGGAATTTACTTTCATGTGCTACATAATCGACAACAGGTTCACAGGGTGGTCCAAAAAGGTGAACTGTTGCAACGGGCTATATTTTGCGTATTGCCTGCAGGAATCCTTTCATATTTTCACATGTTGTAGGGGAAGGTTTAGACGTTTTGTTGGAACCATACATTTGTCGTAGTTTTAAAAAAAATGTGAACTTCCAACATTTGCGATTCTTCAACTCTTCAACAATCTTCCCGTGGAATTTTTTTAAGTTTCAGTCTGAAAAATGTTTTCTGAATTTATTTGATTTTGAATAACTCACATTATGGTGAAAAAATTAGTTAGTTGCAAAGCTATTGTGATCCAAAGAAATGTTCTTAGTTTCCGAAGACAAAAAACATCTTCAAGTGAAATCGCGAGATACCCCTATATGGTCTTAAAATGCCAATATCTTCATTAATCATCGACCGATTCTAATGAAATATGGTTAAAAAAACTGAATATTAGATTTCATTTTCATTTTTGTAAGATGTTTATATGTAGGGCTTCTCAGATTTTGGGTCACAGGGGGTAACTTTGCTCCCCCTCTAACCATTTGTTATAAGTAACATTACACTGCGCGCAGTCTTAGTCGAACCCAGAGTGCCGTGCACAAGCTGAGGATTTGCGTAACCATACTGAGCGCGACCTTTTGCAATTGCTTGACAACTTTTGTACATTTTAGAAAAATGATTCCTTCAGTCAATAAAAAAAACAGCAAGTATATTCACTGACTCATTCAGATATTCCTCATAGCCATGTTTTCAAAGTAGCAATATATCAATCCAAAAAGGAACGAACTGATAGGAGGCTATGATCTCTCGTTGAATTTCTTCAAGATAAAGCACATGCTGTGGATACCACGTTGATAAATTACCGTTGCATGAAAAATTTGTTTCGGTATTCACTTGGCTTAATATTCTTGTTCATCATTGCTAGAGGGTAATTTACCATAATTTAACCCTCACATTTCCAAAATGTTTTTTCGCATACTTGTCAGAAACATAACATTTTTTGCAACTGGAATTGCTTTTCATTTCCTAGGAATTTATCCATCGGATTCTTCTGAAATATTTGTAAACTTTGTGGTGGAATAAAATGCCAGATTTCCAGGCTAAGTAATTCAATACCCCAAGATGGTCAAAATAAACTAGAAAAATAGTATAAAATAATACTAAAAAGTTTACTCGGTACAAAATAATATAATCAATTCTAATTTCTGGACTATGCAAAAATCTCGGTTGATCGTTTCGTAATTTCATGACATCGGTATTATAAATCACACGCAAGTAGGTGGGCCTAATACATTTTACACGCTATGGAAAATGAGAAAATCACGGTAAAGACGTGGGAGAACTACAAAATGCTAGAGAGATGAGCTCGGATTTATATAATCACAATGATTACAATATCCAGGGTATGACCATGACAGCCTTCGTGGGGATTAAAGAATAGGTTAAATGAATACTGAATAAAATTCGTGACATTAAAGGAGTACTTTACCAAATTTTTTTTTGTTATGAATGGCCCATTGTATTGGCTATTGATATAATGAACTTACAAAGGGCAACCATCTTGAATTCAAGTTTCCAAGATGGCCAAATTGCCACTTTAGATCCTGATGTAAACATATAAAATGTGTAATTTTTGCATGAATATTCTAAATTATTCTAGATTCTCTTAAAAAGTTAAAATACACAATAAGCTATCATTTACCATCTACCTCTAGATGCATATGACATAATGCTAAATATGAAATCTGGAATTCTCTATACTTGTGATGCCAGAGCCGAAACTTTTAATTTAAATTACAATATATTTTACGGCTAATGTAAGTTGTTTGAATGTCTTAAGTAAGCTGTTTGAATTGCTAAAGTAAGTTGTTTGAATGGCTTAAGTAAATGGCTAAAGTAAGTTGTTCGAGTGGCTTGTGAATTGAAGCAGGTCAATATGATATTTTTTATCTAACCATCATTATATGATGCCATTTGGAACGAGAAAATCAGGAACCAAGTCAGATTTTGATAAAATGTACAATAAATTGTAGAAAAATTTAAGATGCCTTGCATTACAGATAGTCCATCGTCCATCTTTGGGTGATATATTGGCATACTATTCCTTTAAAGTGTTTATTCCCGGTCTCTACTTCCTCATACGATATATCATAGATTTAGACATCTGAATCATTAGGCGAACTGATGGCGAGAGCATAATGACCTTGCAAAACAACTTAGAGGTCATGCAGCCTACAACTTTGCATATGTTTTTCGTATTCTGTTTTTGGAAGCCGGTTTTGCGATCCAACGATTGAGATAAACACATATATACTGCATACATAATATAAGTCTGATTCAATTATAGACATCCTTACATACCCCATATAAAATGGTTAACTTAAATCAAATTGAGTTCAAAACCCATCATCATTCCTTGGCGATTTCTTTCTCTTAAATTAACTTACCACACAGGTTTAAAACTGAATGCACTGGTATATTTAGAGATGTACTTTTCAGGTACACTAAATGCATACAATTCTATGCTAATGAAATATAATTGTCTTACCTTGCTGGCCATTTTGTATAACTGGACGTGGAAAAGTCGGGGGAATAGTCCGTTCTATATCCTTGTGAATGAGTAATGAAATCTTATCTGAATATAAGCCGAAACTTCTGGTTTGGACCGTTTGCTGGTTAGATACGCAGGGCTGGAACTTGTTTTCTAAACCAAGTAATCTGATATATGTTCACTGCACTAGAGAAGAACTGGGTAGAGTTAAAACTACCAAATTTTATTCTATAATGAAATAAAACTTTTAGAAACCACTTACAAACATTTCTCTACATAATTAGTCGTAAAATATTACATTAAATATTGAGGTTTAGCAGGGCAGTAGTTGGAAAAAGTGTGGCATTGGAACACAACCGGCGCTGCAAGGGGGCACCTCTTTGACGTCATTCTCTTTCATATTATAGAAAACTCCCAATCAAAGACACGATAATTTCACTCGACTTAAAATGCGTGGGGAAAAAATTATCTTAGTTTTTCCAAGCATGGGGTGTCTGCATTATATTCTAATAATATTAGGCCTCGAATTCCAGGGTTACTTTCTACGGCCTATGAGTTCCAACCCAGTGCCCCGATATATGACTATTTTTATCATTACCAGTGGCTAGTCCTGGTCTGACATTTTGTAACTGATAATTTTGGAGATGATTATATAAATCCAGATAACTAAGTGTTATTACTTTCAAGGTATTAATTAGGTATGACTTATCTCTTTGACTGAACAGATGGTAACCAAGTGTTTATTATTGAATGCATCTTTTGCGAAGTTGCTCTTTGTTTTAGGTAATATTTTCTGAAAAACTATTACAGAATAACCTCACAAAGGGTAAAATCTAAAAACACACATACAACCCTCAACTTATTTTGTTGAGACGTAGATTAAGCTGTCGTTTTTATGTCACCACCAAAAGTGGTGACATATTGTTATGGTCTCCGTTTTTTAGCGACGGCGGTTGGCGTCCGGCGGTTGGCGTCCGGCGTCCGGCGGTTGGCGTCCGGCGTCTGTAACAATTTCTTACAACTTCCTATAACTTAACAAATACTGTTTAGATTGACTTCAATTTTTTTCTAAATCATCTACATGTTCCCAGAAGTTCAAATCTGACTTTAGATTTGACATTTGACCTTCAAATCTGACTTTAGATTTGACATTTGACCTTCAATGACCTTCTCAAGGTCAAAAAAGGTCAAAAAGGTCTTTTTTCTTCTTGCTTCAAATTTACTTAATTTTTTTTTCAAAATCATCTACATGTTCTCAGAAGTTCAAATCTGACTTTACATTTGACATTTGACCCTCAATGACCTTCTCAATGTCAAAAAAAGTCAAAGAGGTATTTTTTCAACTTGCTTTAAATTGACCAAATTGTTTTAGGTGGTGACATATTGTCATGTTAATGCCTTGTTTTAATTTGTTGATTTCAAAATATATTCGATTTTTGCGACTCAATCCATTGTAGCGCGCGGAAAGGGTGAGAAATAATATTTGGATATCATGAATACTTGGCAACGTAGGCCAACACTAAGCTATGCTGCACTTCCCAAATGCCAGCCCTGTGAACAGTAAATTAGAGTTTATTGCCATATCGTAATGAGGTTCTTTAGGAACTCTGATAACGTCTGGTTTAGTTACTAACATAATAAACTACGAACTCTCTGAATACACTACGAACTCTCTAAATACACTACTAACTCATAAGCAATTTGTATTCGTTTTTGTCATGCCAACCCCTGGCTCATTAAATTGGGATGGGCAGAATTTTGCTGGTCACAAAATAAACTTGTTAGAGATACAAGAACGCAAACACACGCAGAACAATCCCAATTCACAAGACCAACCAACAGTTAAAACTATAAATGTATAAATATTTCATCGTATTTGGATTAAGCATTGGGGGTTTACCATAAATTATTACCAGCATTGGATGTTTATCAATAGAAAAGATCAGATATGGATAGCCCCACTTACTGTATCTCGAACATATGCAGCGTGTATGGTGATCACATAACATCATTTGATGCTAATCAGTTTAGCTTTTCACCGAGTCCATAAGGTCAAAATCACGTCACTCTCAAACAAAGTGTTGTTAGTCTCGTAGTACTACACCGTCCCTACGGGTAAAAAGAGCTGAGGGCAGAAACAAGACCCCTCTCGAGTTCTATTATATCCCAAAACAAAACATTCTGTAGCAGATTCATTAGATTATTTTAAAATCTTTCCAAAAACATTCTGATGTGGGACAGATCTAAGGCACAGACAAGATATTAGGACCCCAAATTTCATCAACCCACGAAGAGTCTGGGACAAAGGGCACACGTGAGACAAGAACCTTAGTCTAGAAAAATATTTTGGGGCCTAATAACAATTGGACCTTTTTGGACATAACTTAGCCTTTGGACTTCTCTAGGCCAAATTACCAAAAATGCGCTTTAAATTTTCAAAAGGTCGGGAAATTTTATTCCTGACTTGAAATGTGGACCTCCCCTTATTAGTTTCTGGATCCGCCAGTGGTGTATTGTAATTCCATTTTTTCCTTTCCCTTGTGCAAGTTTGCTTACGTTTTCATTGACAATAAAGATTCTTATGTTTCAATATAAAATATATCATATATTTATTCTTCAAACAATGCTGTATACATTTACGTACATTAATACAGTAAACTAATTATATATTGTAGACATATCTCTCATCAATAAATATTTTATAAATGTATAATAAGCAAATAACAAAATATCTCGCATTAATACATATATAAAATTTAAAGTATGTATATATCATTGTCATATACCTTAGGAATCATGGATCACTATTATCGGTCAAAAGATTGCTGAAAATATTCTTTTAAAGTAGTTTACTTTGAAGGACGCTCCTGTGTGGAAGGATTTCAAAAATGAATACCAGAATAGACAAGGTAAACAAACAATACAGTACTGCTCTCAAACATTGTTTGTTATGCATATTATCAAGCAGTCTACATACTCTCTTCCCCCCTCTCTCTCTCTGAGCTGGGGTTTCAATAAATAAATAAAATAAATACTTCATACTTTTAAAGTAAGTTGATCCCTTTATTTGCTAAATATAAAAAAAACATTTTTGACTAGACTGATAAATTGTTTTAATTTTTGGATATATGAAAATAAGCTCTTAATGATAATTATGTAATCGTCTTTCAGATCTTTGTCCTACTCAAGCATATGACTGAAGTGGATATGCGAGTGAGATATTTTGGTAATGTTTATCTTTATAAAACACAAACATTCCATTATGTTGATAGTTTCATAGTTAGCCTATCACCTATTTTTGCAGAGGTGTCCGATTTTCTGCGGAAGTTTTGGTAAAATGAATGGTATTGTCACAGATAAATGCTGTTAAATTGTGTCACCCTATATGGCATATATACTACAGCGTTTCTCATATGCAATATATAAAATGGGTTATAATTTTGTTCTCCTATGATGAGGTGGCAGAACAAAGCTTCTTTAAGGAACAAAAATTATTATTGTATTGTCCTAGTCATCACCGGTGTCACCTTCGTCGTGTAAAGAATAGGTTGAGAGGTTTATCTGGGATGCTGAAACCTTTGTTAATTTTGTCCATTGGTTCACCCTTGTATGTAACATTAAACTTCTGCAATATCTGAAATTAAATGTAAGATTCATACAACACACGATAGAAGTAAACTTTTGATAATTTCAAGTGGTCTGTTTGAATTGCTGTTCTATGAATATATATTTTTGATCAGTTTGAAGTATTTGTGTACTCTCTGGCATTATATCGTATAAATGTAGTTATTACATAATAGCAAGAAATATGACATGAAATTACAGAGCACTTGGTGATATAATAGTTCAATGATGCAGCTAAACAATACCTGGATTGTCAAACCCTGAAATTGAGCAAGCACCAATAATCTAAATAATTCTAGCGTTTCAATCGGGTCTGCCCAATAAATAAATATATGTGCTTATTATAGTGACATTAGTTATAATCAACTAATTACAAACTGGTACCTTGATGATCCCTAGATTGATCTCCTGCTCTGCAAACCGCCTTCCCAGGCACACCCGCATCCCGTGGCCAAATGGTAGGACAATATTTGAGTATGTTCTGGGAACCTCACAAACGCCATTTTCATCTCGTAACCATCTTTCAGGAATGAATTTCTTTGGTTCTCTGAAGTATTCTTCCATTTGACACATCACACTATTTGATGGTAATATCATTGTCTGGAAGTATTGATATTGTAACATTACTTTATGGTTTATATAGTCTGTGCTGTTTTATCTGTTTGTGTGCTTTGTAATTAATATTGGTCTGACCATAGAAAAGACATAAGAATAAGACTTCTATAATGTTCTAAAATAAACATTTCATCAAATGGGCCAAGTTATACCCAGTTCTATTTGTGATTGAATGCTAGTACTAACAATTTGCAAATACGGTTTTATAAGTACACATAACCTTTTTACAATTGTGTCAATGGTTGAAATGGGCCAAGTTATACCCAGTTCTATTTGTGAGTCGAATGATAGTACTAACAATTTGCAAATACGGTACAAGTAACCTTTTTACAATTCAATTTGTTAGTGTCTGCCATTTTGCATTTTATTGATGGATTAACATGGTTAATTGTTCTTTCCCTTGTTCAAATGCCACACTTCTGATTTCTATATCGAGTCCTTTGATGTTACTTTTATTTTATAAATAGTGTAATATTTATCTTGTAGAGACCTACCCCTGGAGGAATCTTGTATCCAGAAATAACCATGTCTTCCTTGATTACCTTCACTGGCCCACAAGGGGTGGGATAAAACATTCTATAAATAAACATAATTTGTTCGTATGACTTTATGTAAGATGAGATGTGGGTGTATAAGTTGTGACATTCTTTTTAATTAAATAATGAAATTATATCTTGAAATGCGTTCCATAACGGAAAAACCCCCAAGTATAAAAAGTTATAAAAGGAGCATTTCAAGTACAATCGGCCATGAAGACTGGAGCAAAACATGGCGTCCTAGACAATGATCTAACTCTAAAAGAAAAAATGAGACTGTGCTCATTATGAGTATGCACTTGGCTGCTAAACAATATTTCATATGATTGTAACCTTTTGTAATGTCACGTGCCTTATTATTGTAAGTGTTATGAACTTGCAGAGTGGTGCAAATCTAACCAACAAAAGTATATATCCCTTTGACACCAGACACAGAAAAATGAAATATCCAGAAATTTGCATTTCTTTTGATGTTTGATATAATTGACTGTATTGTGTTCTGCCATTCAAATTTGCCATATTTTCCATTTATAATTACCTAAATGATTCCTTGACACACGCCTTAAGGTAGTTGAGCTTGTTCATATGACCTGGAGTTGGATTTTCACAATATGGCAGTTCCCTTTCTATTTCTTCAATGAGTGTCTCCTGTTTGTCCGGATTTGTGGCAAGATTGTATAATAGGAAAGATAGTGTATTGGCTCCCTGAAAGTAAATAAAATAAATTAAATCACCCTTTGTTAAATGTGCAATATAATCTTGATATACGTCATCTATTGTTCAAAATTTACAATGTTCCATTTCTATTGACCACCCATTCTGATACTCATAGCATCTTTCTGTTTCACCTGTTTCGGGGCTGAGAAGAAATGAGATGTCATGATTTATCATGATGGTGACCACCATGCTTATGCATTACAGAAGATTAACTTAATGGCATCGATATATAAAACGAGCAAGTAATTGATTTTTCTCCATTTATGTCAGGTGAAAAAAAAACCACATCATATCGGTAGTCATCTAGAAAGGCACTTATTATACATATACGCATACAATCAGAAAATCCCAGTCATAGTTATGAACATCCTAGACCCGATAACTCCAGGCAAAATGAGACGATCGTACAGGAAACACATACTCACTTAACATAATACTTTTTCAGGGGCCTGGGGGAATACGTGGAGACAGAAAAGTAAAAATAAGAGTACATCTTTTGTAGTAGGTCATGTACCTATTGACCATAAGCATCTCAAATTCAGGAAATAAATATGACGTCTTAATAGACATTTAAAATAGGAGAGATTAAAACATGAGACATGAAATGTGAAAAAGATAATGTAACAACGTAGGAAACCCACATAGCTACGGATATGTTCCAAGCATTATAATGGGTGACATGCCCCAAAGGAATATTATTCATTTCAATGTGTTGTCTTTAAAGTAAGAAAAAGAAATCCAAAAAAGGCTTTTATTTGAAAGTGAAGCAAAATGTCAATCAAAGTCGAGACTTTAAAGTAAGTGCTTTAACGTTTTAGAGTGAAGAACTTCCTTTGAAAAGTATCAAGACCAGACAAGCTTAATTTCTTTGAGTTGAAAAATTAGACATCACAGTCAGGAGGAGTTGCACTTGCAAAAGAAACTAATTGATTTGATGACTTGTATAGCTACAAGATTGCAATCAACATACTGTATATTATGCTACCTATTTACACAAACAAATGGAGAACTCTTGCTGTTCTTCTACTCGACACTTCCTTTCATCCACCTTTCACTGTGTTTTTCCAAAAAACAAAACTTACTGAATCTATTCCTCCGCAAAAGAAATCAGCAGTATTCGAGACTATTTCTCCAAATGTCAGTTCCTTTCTGGCCAAAAGGGTATATAAGAAATTTGGTTTGTCCAGATCTAGAGTCCCGTCTCTCTCCTGTTCTTCAAGTTCCTTTATTGTTGTTAAGATATGTTTTTCAGTTAATCTAAAATAAATAAAGATACTAATTAAATGTGGAATGCTGTATTATTGAAGTATAACATGGTGAAATATTCTTTTATGCCAAAGGTGATTTATTAATTTAATCTATTTTAATATGGAATGACACATAATTTTTTCTTACCCTCGGATTTCATCCCACGCTTTTTCAAATCTTCTGTACATTGGCGTCTTGAACAGTTTGTGCCAGGGAACTGACATCATGGCCTCAAAGACCACTTCAAACAGTGTATGGAGGTTCTTCTTAAGCGCATCACACTCTGGATTGCCATTAATGTTGAGACTATCTGTTCTTCTATTGAAACACACCATGCCAGTGTCTATAGGAAAATAAATAGCTTCATGTACAACTGGTATTAAGATATGGCATTATTTTGTAAGACCAGTGGTTGTATTAGACCAGGGGTTCTTTTACAGAAACTTCATGATGTTCAAAATGTTGTCAAGGTTTTTTTATGACCCATATGCAGAATTCATGTTGCGAGTCCAAAATGTCAGTCTATAATGCATATAACTCATATATTACAAATAAAGAAAATTGAGATATACAAATTCAATGTAAATGCACTTACATTCAATAGCAAACCGGTAGAGCTCATCGTAGTAGTTTGGTATATGTCCATTTTCGTCCATTAACACTTCCATTCTTTCTGTAAAGTCGTCTGCTATATCACATTGCATATCCAAATACCCGGATGCGGCTTTGGGGTGTAGGAATAGTTTTTGTACTTTTGAGCGAATTCTATACCATTCTTCCCCATCACTAAAATACAAAAGTGAATACAATTCTGTATTATTCGGCATGGTTTTACATATTTCTGATGATATGGCGGGTTGTACTAAACTAAATCAGGAAACCGGCACAGGTTCAAACATTTCGGAAAAACAAAGAGACATTAGAGATGATGACTGGGGATTATTCCAATACAAGCTATAATGAAGATTATAAAAGACGAACTATGCCAACTGTTTCTGAATCACAACAAAAATGAATGTCTTTCAATGGAACAACCAAATCAATGGTAAACAGTATCAAGGACGTCATTGACAGTATGAACTTACCAGGCGCTCAGACCCATAGGGATTTTTCTCTCTTTAGCATGAATCTGGGTCAGTATAGACACACCACGATCAGGGTACCCTTTCTCTGGTGTGTTCAAATATGTTGAAACATCTTTTGGATCAAATAAATGGACCATCCATCTCGGTCCTATTTTCTCTTTATATATTTTCCCATACTTTTTGTAATTGTCCAAACGTGGGCCATCCCATCTTTTTAAATCATAGGGGCCTGTAATAAAATTTAAAAAATAGGAACGGTTATGTCCATGGTACAAGATTCTTAAATTAACCTAACAATTATGTAACATTAATGTTAGACTGATTATATGGGCATACTTTGATGTATTTATGGGTGTACATCTTTGATGTATTTTTATCATGGTCATGTCATTCAAATAGTACCGAATTTTAACAGTTCAATTTTACCTTAGCCTCCCACTTGGACAGTACTCTGAATCAGAAATCGTATTTCATCTACTACTTACCTAATACTGAATAATGCAATGCTGTTCCGACTAAAGGGAGGCCTTTAGGACCGGGCATCTCACTAAATGCTTTGACTGGATAGTCCATTTTTCCACCCATGGTTCTCCCAAACTTTTGACTTATTGGACATGTAAGAGCATCGATGGGGTTAGCTCGAAGTTTTGCCTCAAGTTTTGATTTGTCATTGAAGGTCGAGGTAGCTGCAGCTGTGGTATTTGGATTGGATGAGTTTTTACATCTGTGGAGACACGGCATATTTAAAAACTGTTTAGATCTTCGTCTAATATCACACAATTGTACCTGAAAGTATAAGAATGCTAAATAGATTCGCTCTTGATACGAGCCCATTAGACTCCCAAACACTAATCACTATCAAACTACTTCACACTCATAGTCTAATAAAAAAGAATGAAAAAAAAAATGTTTTACATCATGTTAAATCATGTATGGAGTGATTTTTTCTCAATAAAAGACCTTGATTTTGTTAGAAAACATTTTGATCCCCATGTTGGGGTATAGGAGTAGAGGATTACGATTGTGTAATATCTCAAAAACTGCACGACAGATTTTTTTCATTTTTACTCATTGGAAAACATAATAAAACTACCCTCTGTAAAGAAAAAAGGTGCATTGTCCTTTATCAGTCATTACATCTTCAAAATTTGTATATATTACTAGATGAAAATGTAAAAACTTAGCAATGGTTATAACATTGTCTCGATCACAAACTCACTAATGTGACATTTTCCTTTAAATTACGTCATGTAATACATTTTTCTCCAAGCCTGGGGAATCATTCTGTATATATTGTATTCTTCATACCATTGTAAAGCCCATTCAAACTGGTCATAACTGACACGTTTGAAATAAACATTGAAAAACCGAAAGAAAATTATGGTGGTGCCAAAACCCGTCTAAAACATGATTTTTAGACAATTTTGCGCCTTAAATAACAGTGAAATCAGGGATAGGATGAAACCATTTTGCTCAATCAGTACACATGTATTTATCACACCTGACACAAATCTTGGTTTGCATAAGCTAAGTGTATGTATATTATATTCATGGCTCATTGAGAAAGATTAAGGGTTATAATTATCTTACGGTTTCAAGTTTATTGGAACATATGTCACTCTACCCCTAATTTTGACCTGAGAAGGAGACTTCTGAATCTGAAAGATATTACTTCAAATTCTATCACAAAATGGTTGACTTTCATTCTATAACTGATATTTTTCACAACGTTTTATTGAATTGAAGATTTGATAAAATGTTGTATTCCTTAAATGAACCTTTACAGAGGGTATCGTTTTTACTATTGATTAATTTATCATTTATTTATTTATCTATTTATTATCTCACATTTCAAATACATACACATTTAGTGCCATCTATTAAAAAAGACTATTGTTAATTTTAGAGTAATAAAATCGACTTCGCTCTTTCGAAAATATGATATCAAGAAATATATTTTTGTAATTAACGTGAGCACTCGTAAAATAAATGCTCTAGCATGGATATTTTATAACTGTTAACTATCCTAAATCACTTTTTGTACTAAAAAACTGTGGCCTGGATATTTTTTATAAAAGTTTATATATGAGTCAGATTGCTAACTACGAGACGGTTTATTGTAGCTTTGTATTGTACTTAGACGCTGTCAAAATGTAAACACAAGCAGAAAGGTTGTAGACCTGACCTTTTTGCACTAAACAGAAAAACTAAAATGAAAAAGTGCATTTGATGAAATGATTCGGTGTCATTGTCGCATTGGACGTATACGAATATTTTGGGAAGGAACCAGAATAGCAAAGAGACAATTATATTCCTAAATTATTCATTGGAATATATTATTAGGCTACACCTCCTGAAAGTGTGCATCGAAAAGAATCATTTTGGATAAATCAGGAATATCGGAATATCCCTCTGAAATAAATGGGATATACATCAATGGATATTCACACTCATGTGCATACTCAACTCAAAATGTTGGAATTTGATTGAATGATTTGAAATAACGATTCATCTTTCTCCATTCGATCGCCAGTCTTGGAAATATGGATATATCAACCTAAGGAACTGGTAAACACGACCTCCAGCTTAAAACAAAGGTAAAATCTAAGTGTTTGATATAAACCTTATTCAAATCAACTGAACATATTCAATAGGCTATTCATCTCATAATAATATTATTTCGGCATGGGGAATTGAAATTATATTCAAAGTTTCGTTACAACTGTACAATTGAGGAACCATGTGGAATATTTTCGTTTCCGCCATTTTGAATTTCATTAATTTGTTTAACCTAATTGTCATTCGTATTTTATATCTTATGCATAATTGTAATCAACGTGCATAATTCACTAATTAAGACGGATTTTTGCTCTTATACATGCATAACGAAATAGCGTAAAATATTATGTATGATATCATTAATATTTTTCAAAATACATTGTACGATCTAAACAAGAAAAATTGAAAATTGTTTGTAAAATATCGCCTCTTCATTTGTGAGTTAATTCATTATTTACCTTGAGTTTGAATTTAACGTGCATATTTTTAAATTTTCGGCTTTCTGTCCCCTCTTAAATAATGAAATTTTGGTTAAGTCACTCAATCACGGTACTTTAACCTCGTTTCTGCACCGAACATTTCATTTCAGAAACCATTCAGAAACCAGTTTGAAATTCCATTTTTTGGAAAATAACGACTAGATAGAGAGCGTGGCAATTGAGAAAAAAAGCCAAGTCATTCCAAAAGTCAAGGAATTTAAAATATATAAGCACTCAGTTATCATCATGATAAAATTGAATACCCTCTGTAAAGAAAAAAGGCACGTGTTCCCTTAACAATCATGTATTTTTTATTTTTCTGTATTATTTCCAATCAGAGGTGAATGAATAATTTTTTATGTTATAGTTGGCGATTTGATAGACATCTTTCTTTTTCTAAACAACTAATTTCTGATTGTTGATCATTAAATAAATAATATAATTAACATAGTAAATCAGATTTATATAAAAAGGTATATCTTTCAATAATATTTTGAAATGAACAAATGGAATTAAAGCGAATAAAGCAACGTGTTATGGGTTAAGGGATTTATACATTTACTTTGAAAATGACCATTCAATGTTGTTTCAAAAATCAAAAAGGTCTCAATTTTACTTAACCTTTTCTTCGTTTCTCACCAAATTTCCAAATATTTCCACGTTTAATTGTGTACAGTTTACTGACCTAAATCTTGACAATATTATCAATTATTATGAATTAGTAATAATACATTTTTGTTATATAATATCTGGCAATGACTTCAGGAGTTGCAGATTACAGCAATAATAGCTCGTACGAATGTAGCATTGTTTTCCTAATTTGATCGGTTATTGGGACATAAAATAAAATGCTTTTTTGACAAAGTAAGAATTTGCTCTAATTTAGATATTTGATCGACCTATTTTACCTTTGAAATCATCTGTACTTCAATTTAGGCATTTAAAGTATTTTTATTATGCTGAATATTAATATTGAAATGCAAATTGTATACATACATACATATCCCAAAAAAATAATTTGGTATGTACCTATCTTATTAATGCATAAAACTATCGTTTACACATGAATGACAAATAGTTTTGGATTCAAACAGATCGATGAATATATCGAATCAATTCGTATTTTAAGTGTTTGATAACACAATGCATCGGTAGAGTGACCCTGGTATATTGATGATAAAAAATAAATGCAGGCAATGCTGAATAATAAACAAAACAAACTTACTTTAATGTGCCATTTCCAATATGTAATCGTAGTATAGAGGTATACGAAGAAAATCACACACCGACTAATCATTCGTAGCCATTTTTGCATCCTGGAAAGTGAATGAATATAAGATTGAAACTTGATTTGAAAAATTTGAATAATCGTTATTAAACTTTCATTATGCCAGAAAAATAAAAAAGCTTTAATGAATACAATAAAACATTCTTTGTTTATATCAATCACTCTTTCAATCTAAAAAGAGTTTTAAAATTTAAAGGTTTTAAATTTAAAGAAATTTGTTAAAGCGTACATTAAAACTTACTCTAAGTCAAGTCCAAGTAACTAATTCCACATGAAATAATAGAGTCCTTTTGTCAAGTCAGAATATGGTTAAGATCCTCTTGATCCAGATCCAAATATGTCTTTCTCTTGCGCTTCATGCCTTTATATCCCCCGGACGCCCCACTTGTTCGCAAAGATATCCGGAGTAAAGCTATGATGTCCTACACCACTGACGGTGATACTAAGCAAGACCCGTGGTTATGCCGACGCTTGCGTAATGCATGGAGATCACGTGCCTTTGCTTATGAAGCAAGTGTCTCCTTTCTACAACTTCTATCGTGGAAATTTACAGGGTAACTAAAAGTATGGAACCCCTCCTTGCATTTGGCATGCAAAACTCCCTGCATAGACTACATGAGAATATGGCTAGAGCATGCTTATTCGTATGAAGCCAACTTGATGTCTTAGTAATATATGTATGGCTTGAGTCGTGAGCTTTTTTTTTTATATAATAGTCTAGTATTGAAACAATAATCCTAATCCGAGCATCACGCCTTCACGTATATTATTGACCTCTGCATATACCAACCACTATCAATCACATGTGTTAAAAATAAAATGAAATTACAAAATCTAAAATATATCTCATTTCAATGATTGAAACGGCAACATGTAAAATATTAATACGCAAAGAGAAAAGTAAATTTGTTTAGTCTAAAGTTGCGTCAGATATTTTGTATTTTGTCTGATATCTACATGTAATTATACAATTGATATATTTGGTTGGTCTTAATTTATATAGCGCTACACATTGACCCCAGGGATTTACAGTCCTATATATTGACCCTTTCCGTTCTTATTATTGACCCTGTTAAAGGCTAAGATAATTAATAATAATTAATTAATCTAATTTCGTCATAATAAGAAACCGAATTTTAATTATGTTCTTATTTATTAGAATCGGAGATATCGAGGCCGGGGAAATTGCAATCAATCAACGTTTTCGACTTACCAAAAATGTAATATCTCGTAAAAGGTTGATGGTATATTTTCAAATTGTGAAAATAATAAAGATTCAGAATTCTCTAATCTAGTTCCTTCACGTTAGCAAAAATTGATGCTGATTAAGTGTGGTATCTATTTTTGAGGAAAAATATTAACATTTCTGAAGTTTGCTTGAATAAAGTATTTACCGTCTGCTAGCATCTACTGTATAATTGTTCGAAATCACCTCTGCAATTCCGCATCTAGTTTTTAAAAATTCCAGGGCATGAGACATTATAGAATATGAATTATATTACTAGAGATAATTGCAATTAAAAGGCCGTATCAAATAATTAAAGGTACATACAATAGTATTTCTAGATTACGTAATGAGAGCATGCAAGTATGCATATTGGTGACAGATATTTACCCTCTAGGCAAGGTTTTTGTGCAAAAGAGTTATTGTTCTTAGATAGTAAACAAGAATCCATCAGAAGAGTATAGAAAAAATTAACCCATAACAGTAGATAAATACAAAATAAATTAATTTTGTTATCGACATGATTTTAACTCACATATTCTAGTAAATATTATTATAATTTACAGATACGTCACTAGGACTATTAAAAATTAAAATGTTTCAAATATAGATCTTTCCCCGGGGAAAATCTAAAAGTAAACAAGTATTTTATTTCAAGTGTTTTTAGTTGTTGAAATGATTTTTTAATATGGTTTGATCAGTTATAAGTTGAGAGACACAGGTGAAACAAATGACATTTTTTGCGCAAACATGTGTTTTCTTGCGCAGAATATATTTTTTATCTAGTTTATTTATTTTGAAAGGGTTAGGCCCCCAGCATAGATGTAACGATCGTCTCATGTAAAAGCTACCCTAACAACGAAAATCTCTTTCAAACAAAATTACTTGTTGTTAGAACCATAGACGTCAAGAGGCCTAGTTACCCTAAACATTTATCAAGAAGATCATAAATGTTGAATGATGGTACATTACATTTCCTATTTATAATAAAAGTATTACATTGACTTTCTAAATGTGGATATACTGACGTCATTCGGATGGTCCGGCCTTGTATCTTGAGAGATGTAACTGACTTCTCTACACCAATTATTCCATATTCTACGTAATTAAGTATCCTAAATGCTCACAATTTTTACGTTCTGAACAAGGTCGTTTTTATAGGGTGATACTTTAAGAACAATGGGTGAAAGCTTTATCTCGTTTGCTTTATCGCACTGTGGGCGCGTTTACATTATTGTCTTCAATTCAGCCTACTCTTAAATCATATCGATCATACTAAAAATATATTAATGAGCAATTAAGCAACAACTACGAACACAATATTTTAAAACACTGGATTCAGTATTAAAGTACAGGAAATTGAATCATCAAAGCGCCCCAAGTAAACTGAAAACCCTTTTTTAGTTCTGTTCTAATCTAAAAATGGCGAGGTAGCGCTTTCGAAGGCATTTTGTATGCTATTAGATCATAAAACAACATTAATAGTAACCTTGGATTGAGTAGTTTTTGTTTCCTAAAAATCACCAATTTGAGTATCTAAAGTTTCAACCAGCAGAATAGATTGTGGTCGAAAATTTCCAAGTTATTCCTGGATATTTAAGCTGGGGTCATGCAGAATTCTTGGTTTGGAAAATTGTCACTCCTACTTCAAAAAGGAAAATGTTGACACTCCAGGATCTTCGATTATTTTTGTCAGATCTTTTAAATTGGCATATTTATTGAAAACATCGCTTTGAACAGTTAACATTGTTTGTTCTTCACTACCATGCAATTCAATACCTCATTTACTTTTATTTTACGTGGAAGGATCGAACATTTGGTAAACGTCTACGAGCAGGTTGTATTAACACGTTTTTTGAATGAGATGCTGTTTATTCGCAGACAAATAAACCCATACTTCAATAAAAACCAGTTATGCTTCTGTATTGGTCAAAGGTTAATTGTACGATGTAAATCCTTGATAATGTGATGTTAAAATGAAAATACTCAGTCAATTGAGGGTTGATTGTGCATTCTTATTTAATCAAAGGTATTTTGTGTGCATCTTTCAATCTAGTGCTCAATGCACTGGGTGTCCAAAAAGCCTCTATACAATTACAGTCTGTGTTCGTTATAGACAGTAGACACCCTGTACATTCTTCACATCGAGCGAGCAAACTTGAATAAATATTAATATGATTATCAATTTTATTTACATTTCTTATTTATTTAATGAAAACTGAAGATTTTTAGGATAATGTATTAAACTCTTTCTTTAATGCTCCAGTCACATTTAATCTACGGCAACCTCACAGCCGTAGGTTCCCAAAATCGAGAGAAATATGCAGCATAAAATTTAGGGATAAGCAGTACGATATAGATTTTCTATATCGATTTTTTGAAACGCCGGCCACCGTAGAGAAAATGTGCCGGCCAAATGTGACAGAGGCTTAGATGTTAACACATTTATAAGTTGGGATATTTGGGAGATATTTTATTTGAGATCGTAAGAAATAAATTGGTAGGAAAATAGTACATATTGCTTGAAATTTTCTCACCCCCTTTTAATCTGATTCTTCTTTTAAAGGTCCGTGTAAAGTTTTTTAAGTATACTTTAATCATTCAAATATTACTTTTCACGAAAAGTCATTTGAGACATTTTTTTGAAAAACATAACGTTTGAAAAAAAGTTGTTCATCTAATAATTTTCAAATATTTTTATTTCCCGCCATTTAAAAAAAACAAAAGTTTAGATTTTTAGATCATAAAATATTATACTCAGCATATTATTTTCTCTATTCAATTAAATAAATTGGGCAAAAGTCTATTAAATTAAGTGCAGAATTAAATTTTTTGAACAACTAGACACACAATGATAAATATCGCACTTTCGAGAGCAAATTGGTCACCATGTAATTTAGTAGGTTTTTTGTAACCAGAAAATAGCAAATCCGACTGAACAAAACATATTTTATAAATACTTCGTACATATGGTAGAAATAAGCAGGGAATAGTAGAGAAGTATTGTTTCCTTTAGGTATTTGATTTTGATATTTAAATAAATAGATAAGTACAGCTATTTTGTCAGTTATTTTGAATTCAGCAGTTATTTGATAGATTCCTTCTTAGTAGATTTCTATTTCCATATGACATTAGCATATTTTTGAACCAAATCCTTTAACTGGTATTTGGAATATCAAACAGTACCTTTTTATGAAAAATGGCGGCCTATTATAAATGCCTCCTTGAGCAGGGGACGGGTCCTTTGCCCATGTCATATTAGCTTATGAAATTTGGGAATGGTATATGTTACCAAAAGTTACATTTTTATAAGAAATGGCAGCCATTTTAAAATTCAGCGCCCATGTTATAAATTCCATAAAATTTGAATGAAAATTGTCAACCGCTAAGAGCCTGGATGAACAACCGAACTATTGGACAGATGGACAGTCAAAAGGACAGATGACTTCTCTATATCCCTATGAACTTTGTTTGGTGGGTGATTAATTAAGCTGACCTAAAGAATCCAAAACATCAATAAAAAATCAACTTTTCGTTTTTTTAAAGTGCGATAAAAAGTCCTTCATAGCCAACTTTTTGGAATGAGATTGAAAAGTTACACATAGCACATTTTTATAACATTGGGTAGGACTATAATATAAGCCAAAGCGGTCTAAATTTTATATGGGGCCTTTAATTGTATTATGTGATGATTATATAACAAATAAATAGGAGAGAAGAACAATAACATTTTTGTAATATCAGGATACAACTGGGCGTGACAACAAATATATATATGAGACAGTAACAATAAACATTTATATACAATTGGGCGTGAAAACAATTGCATAATTTCATGTTGTTATATATGATACATTCATAAACATTCCAAAGATTGGGAAACATGAACTCCGGTATGGTGTTTAAACTGCTTCTTTATTCGGTACATTAATATTCCATAAATACCAAATAAAACAAACAATTTACCAAACCTTTACCCAATCTATCGAATGTTTTTATTTATTTTATCAAATGTAATAATCTATACAATTTATATTCGCTAAATAGTTTCACTTGTTCTTTTTATTGACATTCACATTTGATATTTATACATGTATTTGTGTGATGCAGCGAATCAATTTGTTTTCCTTAACCCACGTATAATTCAATTAATTATTTGTACATTCGGTATTTAAATTATTTATATTCGGTAAATACCGAATGCCACATTCGATAAATTTCGTTATTTTTCGATAATTTACGAGACTTTCAGTCACGTGATATATTTGTACGATGTAGAATAGCTGCGGGGCCATTTTGCAAATCTCGAAGTCACGTGACAAAATATCGAACAACAACGCAAGTTATCGAATATTACTTTATTGCATTCGGTAAAATGCATTAACTATGTCATAGAAAAATAAACCATTTGGTAAATATAGGCAAACTTATTTCGGTAGGGTTCAAATAGAAATTCAATATTGTGCATATAATGTGTTACTCTTAAGGAATACCATAACAATTTACGCAAAAAATATCATTTAACGAATGAAATATGTAATTTAAAGGGGTATTCCTTGCCAGACCATCTCTCTCCTAATATGGTAGCTATAACCATATACATACTTTGCAAGTTTATCAAAAAACAGAAAAATGTTTTGAAATGGTCAATATTGATCACTTAAAAATGTAGTGCTCAATTCCAGTAGAAGTGATGTCATCGACTCTCAACTTTGCATATAACATTAGGTAAGGGGCTATTAGAATTACTAAACCAGCTGAATATTTTTTCAATTTGGTCTATGATTAAAATCCTTTTGATGATCCCTTCTTTAGTTCTAAGTTGACAACTCCTGAAAATATTTTTACACAGAAGATAAGGGCTTCTTGTTTAGAAGTGATTTTGTACTTCTTTCCTATACTGTAATAGACAAGGTTATAACAGGTGAGAGTCGATGACATCACTTCCTGAAAGAAATCTGAAAAGATGGCAGCTTACTGGGAATGAGTACTACATTTTTAAATGATCAATATTGACCATATGAAAATTGTTCCCGTGTTTTGCTAAATACGTAAAGTATATATATGATTGTAGCTACCATATCAGGAGAGAAATAGTCTGGCAAGGAATGTTCCTTTAATGCACATAGTATTAAGTGATTGGCTATTTTGAAAACTTAATTTGCTGTAACAAATATATAAACTTTTTACCGAATGGAAAAATGATTTAGCGAATATAAATGTTTCATATATCGAATATATTTGAATTTAATGAATAAAGAAGCAAAAATAATGCCATACTCCGGCAACAAAATCCTTTTCCTGTTTACACCTGCCTTATCATTATACATGTATCTACATAAAGTAACTGTTGCATTAGCCATGTGGGCTCACCGTTCGTCACAGTGTGGCTAATTTTAGGCATTAACTTTTTGATAAATTTTTGATTTTTTGGTGTGATGGTGATATCTTGCTGTAAAAATATTTGTTTTGCCCGCCATGTGTCCAAGCTGTGCTGTGTCGTCCGTCTGCCCCAAAGTATTCACACAGTGGCTAATGGTGAGTCCATACGGTCTAAGTGTGACAGCTTCACAAGTTTGAGGAGTACATAAGCACAGGTGCCACAAGGAAAAAGACCAAAGGCAGTTTTTCAGAATGGTCATAGTGTCATCACCTAACCTGGCAAATCACTGCAAATGGTTACAAAAGTGTAACAATTTAAAACAGCTGCTGATCACCAATGCAAACATTGAACACCATAAACTGATGTGTACTAACCTTAGTGGAGACATAAATCCATCAAACACCAATCTCTGTGCTCTCTAGTTCTAGTTTTAAACAACTGGACGAAGCTCTCAAGAAGGGAAGTCGAACAAATGCAAAGGGTAATCTCTCTGATACAATGCACAAGAAAATATATGTACCTTATGTCCTACCACCCTCAATTCAGGGACCTTTATCATACAGCAATAGACAATGGGGGGAGGGGGGGGGGGGGCACTGGCGGATGGTGGGCCCAAAAAATGGGGTCTGAAAATATTTGGGCCAAAAAAGGCCTTAAGGCTACAAAAAGTGGGCATTTTTTCATAACTGGGTCTTTTAAAGCCTTATTTTTTAAATTTAGAGAAAATGGGCCTCAAAAAAAAATTTTACAGGCAAGGGCAGAAATTATTTTCTCAGACCTAAAATTTGGCCCCCCTCCTTGTTGGTTCCCAGATATCTATAAACAAACAATATCAGGTAAGGTGCAACTGCATACTGCATAATCTTTCTATTAGAAGTGGATCTATTCTTATATATAATTGATACATACTAGATTTCAGGTAACATTGTGACTATAATTAGACACATTGCTATAAATAGATACAAATAAATTATCCCTCTGATTAAATCCAATACAAAACAAAGAGATATGGAAATACCCATGCAATTATAAGACTCTAAACTTCATGACAATAGATACTATTACTGATTATTTGCTTATATAACCTTCTTTCTTAGACCAACCTTTTCTAGGTAGCATAATAATAGATAAGATAATAATAATGGCCCGGAACCATCAATCTGAATACTACTCACTAACTCATATCACAAACACACAGAGCCCTCTATCTTTATCTTCAGAACACTGCACGATCAACTGTGAAAACACAAAGAAAGCCATAATTCCCTTTATAGTGAAAAATACACAGAACATATTCCTTGTTTTTCTCTCAATTTTTTTCTTAATTTGTTTCTCTTACTTTTAAAGACTTGATGACATGACATTAATCATGGCCCAAAATGACCTAAAATTGCTCAAAAGGGTGAAAAACTGCATGATTTTGAAAGAATTTTGACCAGAGGGTTCACTCTAACCTCCCATACCTCCCGACTATGGGCCTGTATTTATTGCAAATCTCCCATCGGTTTCTAAATATAATATAAATATAATATGAATCAAGTACAAATATAGGCAATAGCTAAAATGTCTAAATAAAAATTTACGGTCACCGATATTTATCTAAAGTTTAAAATAATTATAATATGTTGCTTGGTGATTTTCCACACTACATAATGTTTGATTTGTTAAAGCCATACCAATCCAAGCTCAGTCAGACCATTGCCACTCTCAAGTCTGGTCTTTTACACTTCCAGGTTTGAAATTTTATACTTTCAAGTCTGGTCTGCCATTTACACTTGCTAGTATGATCACTTACACTTGCTAGTATGATCACTTACACTTGCTAGTATGATCACTTACACTTGCTAGTATGATCACTTACACTTCCAAGTTTGATCCTTTACCATTCCAAGTCGGATGTGTTTCTCTTCAAGTCCAATTAGATACATTTCAAATCTTACAAATTAAACTGAGTCAAATCACTTACACCACTAGTCTGAAAATTGACACTGCTTATCTGATGACTTACACTTGAAGTCTAAATAATTACACTGACTCAAAGTCAGTCGGCATTTGTCCTCCAGGGACTTTCACTTGCCTGTTTTCACATAATTTCTATTACAAATCTCAAAATACTCTAAAACACTTTTATAAATCTTTTTATGTTTGGTCCATGTTACTCATTGCAGTGTCTTTTTTGTCATTTTCAGGTCCTCCTGATGTAGGATCCCTCGTTGCATTGCCTTGGTCCATGTTTAACATCTTTCCGATAATTTGTGCGTAATATAAGCCAAATACGGATCGATTATGTGCCAGAATTCGGAGATATTGTCCACAGACCTGACTCAAAGGTTTCTCCATAGCAGACACTCCAGGAGGAATCTTCAAAGGTCCAGACTGCATGGCTGGCTGCGTTGTTTGGAGAATGAAGTCATGGACACGTTTACCTGAAAAACAGTTTTTCACCAGTAAAAATTTGATCTACATTACGTAAACCTACATACGTTTTAAAGAGTAAGCAGAGATTTTTTCAACCATCTTGGATTTTTTGAATATTTTGGAAATTGTAGCCATGGTAATAGCTACCAGGCCACCTGGACTGCTCAATCTCTTTATATCCTTCTTCAAAGGACTTCCTTGCTGCTCCGCCATTTCTAAGATTACTCTTTCTTGTCATGACGTTTGCAGACAGAGTACATCCTTTCTCAGACGGAAACGGGATATCTCATCATATATTTCCCCCAGAGACATTGAATGTCCATTTACACATAAGCTTATGTTACAGTCTGGTAAAAACTTTAATAGCTTATCCATTTTCCACCTACATTATAACCAATGATGTACCTACACTAAGCCCAGGTTAGTGACAACATAATATATTTCCGACAATTATGAACAAGGCACTAACATGTACCTACACTAACACTGGTGATCCACTCGATTACGCTGGTTACCAAAACAGTTCGTTTTGGTAACAAAATGTCGGAACATCCGGAAGGTACGATTTTTCTCGTTTCCTTATTTTACACGTTGTAGGCAGAATGCCCAAGACATTTTTTAACACAAACGTGTATCAGTATCATATGTTTAAGAAAGTGTACATATTTGCGAACAAATAGTTCAGAAGACAACAGAATCGTCGATTTACTTCCTCACTTAAGTTACATAAACGGTTTGGGTTAAAAATGCAGATCTTAACTGTTTTTCGAAAAACCGTTTATGTAACTTAAGTGAGGAAGTAAATCGACGATTCTGTTGTCCTCTGAGCTTTTTTTTCGCAAACATGTACATTTTCTAAAACATATGATACTGATGCACGTTGTTAGAAAAAACGTCGTGGGGATTCTGCCTACAACGCGTGAAATAAGGAAAAAAGAAAAATCGTGCCTTTCGAAGTTCCGACATTTTGTTACCAAAACGGTTCGTTTTGGTAACCAGCGTAATCGAGTGGATCACCAGTGACTAAGGCCAGGTTAATGACAACATAATATATTTCCAACAATTATGAACAAGGCACTAACATGCAAAATGTCACCTATCATATTAGTCTTGCCTATTTAGTTTGCCTCAAGTATTTATATTTGCCTTACCTATTTATATTTGCCTCACCTATTTAGATTCCCCTAACCTATTTAGATTTACCTCACCTATTTATATTTGCCTCACCTATTTAGATTTCCCTTGCCTATTTAGTTTTGTCTCATCTACTTATATTTGCCTCACATATTTATATTTGCCTCATATATTTATATTTGCCCCACCTTTTTATATTTGCCTCACATATTTATATTTGCCCCACCTTTTTATATTTGCCTCACATATTTATATTTGCCTCATATATTTATATTTGCCTCACCTATTTAGATTTCCTTCACCTATTTATATTTCCCTCACCTTTTTATATTTGCCTCACTATTTGTCTCACCTATATATATTTGCCTCATATATTTATATTTGCCTCACATATTTATATTTGCAAAATCACTTGAAAAAAGTGTTAAAATGACAAAAATTTGCATGATTTTGAATATTTGGCTAAGGGGAGGGTTCACCCCCTGACCCCCCTCCTCCTTGGCTAAGAGCCTGGGAACAAAACGTTTGCATCATTTTATGCCTTTTTAATCTATATTTGGAAATCTGTTTACTCCTCCAGTAGATGTTTAGCCAAGGAATTTGTCAATATTTTATATAAAATTATAGACTGCTATTTATAGTTATATATCACTATTATTAGAAAAATACAAAGTCATTGTACATGGAATTTGAATAAGGATCAAGTTGTTGCAAGTCCCAGCGGGCAAATCTTCGCTGTTACATCACAGTGATCAATAGTTATGCGGGAGATAAAGGATATTAACAACTATTAAACAACACGATAACTGATAAAATTAGAACTTGTGCAATTCAAACCAAGACTAAAGAGTAATAATAACAATGGTAAACCATTGCCTCTGGGACATGTCATGATCATTGACGGAGGTTTTATAATAATAGAGTCTGTAGCCGAGTAGAAAAGGATTTGCTGCTTGAATGGTTCATTGATAGAATGGCATGGTTTATTTTTTGCGTAAACATATTTACCAGTATACTCTAAATATAAAGAAAAACGGTCCACTAGTTTTCTAGTTATGTTTCTAGTTAGTTTGTCATTTTGGCCTTTTTCAACCATGAGAAGCCTTTTTGCATATTTAACCATGAAAGATGTATACTTCGTTCAATCTGATGAAATATGTGAATTTTATTCTTGAGTTAAAATGAGTTGAGTTTTATGAGACAATACTATGCCTGAAGAATTTTGTATCGGTCTGACTAGAAAGAACCGATATTTGAGAAATTACTGTTAAACCTGTATATCCGAACAGCTCTCTTATCCGAACACCTCTCAATGTTAAGACCTTTTCGAAGTCCCAAATTTGTTAGCTCCCATTTATGAATAAATAAACTAACCTTGAAATGTGAACACCTGCTAATTCAAACAATTTCTGCAAGTCCCAGAGCGTTCAAATTAGACAGGTTTTACTGTTGGTACGTTTTTGATATACTATATATGAACATACTAACATCTCAAGTAAACCACTAGCACCACCTATATTGAATCAATCAAGAAAAATACCAGAAAAAATCAGCTATTTTATTGAAGAATTTCATGACCAAATAAGGAGTTTGACACAGGTTACAAATACTACAAATATTTCATTCTACTGAGATGAATAAACTTGGCAGCTTTAAGAAGTGATATTAGGAATCACAATTATGAAGTGATATTAGAAGTGATATTAGGAATTATAAGTTATAAGAATAACAATGATATGATAAATTATTTTATTTCAATATTTTTTCCGAACTCCCGTGCAGTGATATATCACTGCGGCGGGCAGGTATCTCATCGTAGGCATGGTAACTTCGTAATAAACAACTGACGTGATTGGTTCTAGTCCCATGCTCAGGTCGCGTGATTGTAAAATGTAGACAATTTCATTGGTTGAATTGCGCGTATTAACTAGTAAACAACACGTGCGGTAAACTATTATCAACAAAACTTTTACTCAGAATTCCTTCCGCGGTGATTTCTTCTCATATTTCAATAATTTTGAAATATTTTGACAAAATAATGATTGGTGAACATAAAAGAACATATATTTTATAAGTTGTATGAAAATCAAGTACATCTGTGACAAAAAGGGGGACTATCTTCCCCAAATTTTGGGGATTCCATAATCTGCCCGCCGCAGTGTCTATACCGAGACACTGCATGGGAGTTCGTATTTTTTCTCGTTTACAGATATTATTTTTTGTTGCTCCTTATTTTCCAATTTTATAATTACAATATCATGTCAAGAATAAAAAATGTTTGATCCAAGACAAATCTGGAGGAGGTACTTAACAGGACAAGGGCATATGTTTTACCAGTGACGTAAATTGTTACAAAAGAAAAATGTCCATGCATGAAATAATATGAGGCACTCTTAAAATTAAACATTAGTTGAAAAGACATTAGTTGGAAAAAGACATTAGTTGGAAAAAGGAAAAAAGCAAACTGCGTTGCAGTGTATACTCAAAATGTTGGGAAATTTCAAAGTCATTCATATAAGCATTTGGCAGTATTATATATAAAAGCACAAAATGTGATTTTTTATTTATGGACAAATTATTATAGAGGAAAGGGGGATTCTATAAGACTAAATGAGGTACAAAATTATGTCAATAACTTTTATGGAATCTCATTAATGATTGATTAGGTGCAGGCGTATATTTAAAACACAATGTGTTTGGTCACATGTCTGTACATATTTATACAGCGTGGGCTAAAAATTGTGCACCTTTTTTAATTTTGCAAAATCCTTTTTGATAATGCATGAATGGATTACAACAATATAGCACTACAATCAATGTCAAAAGAGCAAAATTAAATCTTAAGCAGTATTTTGATGAAAAGGTCAACAGAAAGTGGAGATAATATAGATATGTAGCTCCCAATTTCAAAATTAGAGATTTTGATATATGAAATTATCCCTTCTACCTTTTTTCTTGATGCCGATGCCGATTCAGTTTCAGTTTTTCCATTTTACATGGAATAATCTCAGAATTTACTGAACACACTACCTATTATGTCTTTCTGAGAGACTGTACATGATAATATCTAAAATTTCATGCACATTTTTAAGTTATCATCAAAAAAGAAGTTTTTTGGCCCACCCTGTATAGAAATGTGATATTGCTTGTGAAATTAATAAGTACTTAAAATGTGTCGAAACACGTGATTAAATTTATAAACATGTGATCATTATTTATTCATACTCTCAAAAAATTAATCAAGAAAAAACGATTACTAATGCTCTTTTGTGTCTGAAGGCAGGAAATGAGTTTCATTCTTCGCATTGATAATTAATTATCTGAAATAGCAAAACCTACATGTAGCACCATTTTGTATTGTTCCCCGAACATGGATAAAGCTCATTCATTCCATATTAATTGAAATTGAGTCTAATAATGAGGAATGTGAACCAATTCAAACCATTAGCCTGTCATGAGGCCCCTAGCCAGGGGGAGGAGGGGGGGGGACTAAATACTAAATATTAATACAATTAATGCAATTGGATAGGTATCATTCATGGATCATGCAAAAGCTCAACAAGTATTGCCGATTATCCAAGAGCAATCACGAAATTGTAAAACAGTGTCACATAAATAGAAGGTCCAGGGCTTAAATCCTTAAATAGTTGTAAATAAATGTAAATATGGCTATATAATTGTAGATAGTGTAATATACAGCAATTGTAAACAGTGTCATATATTAAAAAAAATAAAATAACAACCGTGTTGTATAATTGTAAATAGTGCAATGTAATTGTAAATAGTATCATATAATAGTAAATAATGTTCTTTGATTGTAAATAGTGTTGTAAATATATAGTATCTTATAATTGTAAATAGTATCTTATAATTG